ATGCGCACAGAAATATTTAACAGTTTGAGCGCCATTCGCATATGTGGGTCTTGGATGCGTATATAATTTTCCGCTGATCATTTAAAGTATGAGCTCTTAGCACATTGAACAAGAAAGAACAAGGTATGAAAAAAAATCTTTTTTATATTGATGCTTTCATAAGTCAATTAATTCTGAATAAATCTAGAAACAGTAAACACTGAGATGCATGATGAAATTGATTTTAAAAAATGTTTTAGGTCACCTGAGTTGGTGTCATATTGTTACCTATTTTCGTCGTCGTTGTGCATCGTTCTTCGGTCGTTGATCAAATCCAGCTTCTCTTGGAACACTGAACACATTTTAAAAAAAAAAACAAAGGTCATTGACGTTTTTATAGAAAGGACACGAGCAAAAAGTTACTGTTTTCTATAGTATTCTGTATATCGGCAAAATTAAATTATTGGGGGGGGGGCGTGCCCCCCCTCCCCCCCCCCCCCCCCACCGGGTTCTATGGCCATGTATGAATAAATTTTGGCATGAAATATGATAATAAACAACAATCATCCTCATACTGGTTCATAGTATAAAGGTCACTGATTTAAACCATAAAGATTGGGAGCAGAACAAACACGGACTTATTAAAATATCAATGGTGTGATCACGTGCTTGCATGGATAAGTAAACGTTCCATGTTGACCTGTCACACCTGCAATGTGCTCCTTGTCATGATTTGGTAAACGGAAAAATCCGTAGTCAATTCATTGTGAAAATTATAGTCAAACAATTTGTATGAAAAAAGACCTCAAAGGTTGTCATATTGGTACTCTTTAACTGTATTTATGGAATGTTTTTCAATAGCTGTCCTTCCAAAATCACCACGTTCTTTAGAAAACAAATTCATGTTTCGCCAAAGTAAGCAGTTTCACCTCAGATTTCCAGTCTGTTGATGGCTCAGGGCCTTACTTAAAGCAATATGAGCTGCAACTTTGATGATTATGATGTTGGAATTTTTTGTTGCAAAATTGTAAATAACTGTTTCAAAGACAGAAAAAATATGTTACGTTATTAAACTTCCTCTGTTCATACGTCTAGTATTTGCGATGGAAGAACTATTTATAAGCTTGGATTGAATTAAAATTCATTATTGTACGATAATGATGTCTCATATAAAACTGCTTTATTTTAGTCTAATTGATCATAAAGGTTTAAGTTACATTGAAATTTATCATATTTTAACAACAACAAAAAATTTTCAAAAATGCAGCTCATATTCTTTGAGGTAACGCCTTCAAATGCATTGTTGGTGCTTTATGCGATTCTTCGACTACCTCAACAAAAACAATTCCACTATGGATTGGACTAGGACTAATCAGTCGTATAGGGACCAACAGGGGCGGATACAGGATTTGTGGTTAGGGGGGGGCGTGGATAACTTTGTTCACGCAAGGGGTCTGGGGGCCGCCTTAAGGCCCCCAGTGGGTCCAGGGCGAAGCCCTGGTGGGGGCCCAGGGGGCGAAGCCCCCGGAAGCTCCTGGGTTTTCGTGTATTTTAGAGTAAAACCAGGCACAATAATAGTGCATATTTTTCAATTATTTTTGTTAAAAGTATATAGCATATAGGTCCGGATGTTTGAATATATAAATGGTGCCTGTTTTGGAGGGTAACATTTGAAATTGACACCCCAAGGAAAACCATTGTCAACCGACGCGTCAGCGGAGGTTGACAATGGTTTTCCGAGGGGTGTCAATTTCAAATGTTACCCTCCAAAACAGGCACCATTTATTTTATTATACTGAATGTCTTATTGATTTAGGACGTCTGCAAAAAAAAGGTCGATCGTCTTTACGTTCATGTATAGAAAGCCTTCACATTCACCGGTTCACTAATCTCCTTATTGTTTGTTTGATACTCGAATTAGAGTCATTTATCATATAAAATTTCGTTATTTCTGGCTCGCAAGCATGTTTCCTACACTCACAAGCATGTATCGTCTGTCGTTTGTTGTTTTCAAGTAAGCTATATCGGACGAAAGCTTTTATTGACGTCAAGTTAATCCAGTTCTTTCAAACGCGCAACTGACGTTTTGAGAATTCTACGGTGAACCGTACGCGCATAATTTCCACGCATGTGGCATTACCGTTGTGTTACCCGTTGTCACGTGTGTTGCTAAGGCTCAGGGTAATCGAACGGATTGTTAACTGCGTCTAAACCAATCAGATTTTAGTATTTAACATGAAAGTATAATAATAATAAATGTATTGAATGTTTCTCAATTCTCATTGTATTGTAACACATGCCACTATATAATGAACAATTTAATTACTTATTACTTACTAATAGTGGTATTGGTTAGTGATGTACCAAAGTACGACGTGTTTGATACTAGTCATGTCATACTTTGAATGGTGGGGGCCCAGGGGGCGCAGCCCCCGGAAGCTCCTGGATTTTTGTGTATTTTAAGAATAAAACCAGGCAGAATAACAGTTATTTGGTTAGTTTTGTACCAAAATGTGGCAATATAAATATTAGTCACATCATACTTAAAATTTTAGGGGGGGCGTGCGCCCCCCACGCCCCCCCCCCCTTAAATCCGCCAGTGACCAAAGTTTGGCGTGTGACAAGCACCACGCCAATTATGGCTTGGTCTTACACTTTTATATGCTTGAGCGAAAAACAGAGATTTAAATATGTATGTATGACTATGAAATCAACAAAATAAATCCTGGTTTTACAAGAAGTACAGGAACATATGTTAACAAAAAAAAACATCTATCTGCCAGATTTTCCATTGATTTTTATTACTTTTCACACTAAATTAAGAGCACAAAATAATTCAATTCCTGATGAATGCCAACTATAACTTAATCATAGATATATTTTTTTTTACTTCTGTCGATTTTTTAAAAACTAACAGTCGCAAAGTTAGAGGAGTTCGAATCCCACTGTTGGACGTGGAGACGTCCTTCGGATGAGACCGTATAAACCTAGGTCCCGTGTCGCAGTAGGTGCTGTCACCACTTTTAATTTTGAGTGTCTACAATAAGTCAAAATTATACCTCTCTACCGGCAAGTGGTGACGTCTTCATAATGGATATGTATGATTAAAAAAATACGTTCGTTTATTAGTAACAAAAGTTGCGAATTTTCATATATTTTTAAAAATAAATTCTTTCCTTGATAACTTCTCAGCATTTATTTGATCTTACAATCTTTTTAGCTCACCTGAGCCGAAGGCTCAAGTGAGTTTTTCTGATCAAAATTTGTCTGTTGTCTGTCGTCGTCGTCGTCGTTGTTGTCGTTAACTCTTCACATTTTCGACTTCTTCTCAAGAACCACTGTGCCAGTTTCAACCAAACTTGACACAAGGTATCCGTAGGTAAAGGGGATTTAAGTTTGTTCAAATGAAGGGCCACACCCTTATTCAAGGGGAGATAATTCAGAAATAGTGAAAATTTGATGGTATGTTTTAAAAATCTTCTCAAGAACCATTGTGCCAGGAAAGATGAAGGGATAGGGAAGCATTCTCAGGTAGTGTAGATTCAAGTTTGTTCAAGTCATGACCCCCGGGGGTAGGACGGGGCCACAATGGCCAATCAAAGTTTTACATAGAAATATATAGGAAAATTCTTTTAAAATCTTCTCAAGAACCACTCTGCCAGGAAAGATGAAACTCATAGGGAAGCATCCTCAGGTAGTGTAGATTCAAGTTTGTTCAAATCATGACCTCGGGGGGTAGGGCGGTGCCACAATGGCCAATCAAAGTTTTACATTGAAATATATAGGAAAATTCTTTTAAAATCTTCCTCTCAAGAACCACTATGCCAGGAAAGTTGAAACTTACAGGGAAGCATCCTCAGGTAGCGTAGAATCAAGTTTGTTCAAATCATGACCCCCGGGGGAAGGGCGGTGCCACAATGGCCAATCAATTTTTACATAGAAATATATAGGAAAATTCTTTAAAAATCTTCTCAAGAACCACTGTGCCAGGAAAGTTGAAACTTATAGGGAAGCATCCTCAGGTAGTGTAGATTCAAAGTTTGTTCAAATCATGACCCTCTGGGGTAGGGCGGGACACCAATGGCCGATCAAAGTTTTACATAGAAATATATAGGAAAATTAGTTAAAAATCTTCTTCTCAAGAATTAACAAAGGCATGAATGATCATATTTAAATGAAAGCATCTTCAGATAGTGTAGATTCAGGTTTGTTCAAATCATGATCCCCTGGGGTAGGACGGGGCCACAATGGCCGATCAAAGTTTTACATAGAAATATATTAGAAAATTCATTTAAAAATCTTCTTCTCTGGAATAGCAAAGGCATGAATGATCATATTTTTATGGAAGCATCCTCAGGTAGTGGACATTCAAATTTGTTCATATCATGACCCTTGGGGGTAGGGCGCGGCCACAACATGGAATCCAAGTTTTACGTAGAAACATGTAGAAAAAATCTTTAAAAATCTTCTTTTCGTAAAAAGCAAAGCCATGATTAGTCTTATTCATATGGAAGCATTCTCAGGTAGTGTAGATTCAATTTTGTTCAAGCCATGACCCCTGGGGGTGGGGCGGGGCCACAAAGCCCACAATGTAAGTTCAAATGTAAAGGGCAATAAAGCCACAGGTAGTCAAAAAAATATGCAAGCATCCTTAGTTAGTGTAGATTTAAGTTTGTTCAAATCATACCCTCTCCCTTTTAAGGATTGTTCGGGACCACTGTTGGGTTTCAACTTATCAATAATAAACTGATTTATGCTTTTTTCCTAGCTGCATTGCTCAGGTGAGCGATGTGGCCCATGGGCCTCTTGTTTGAAATATAAATTAAGAAAGTTATGGCTTATTTGATGGGGAAAAATGTGCTTATATGCGTATCACAAAAGTTGAAGATATTACATAGAATGGCTTATATATATAATTTATGCATGAGAATGGTATAAACCATTGTATTATAATTAATTTTCAAATTACCGGGTAGTATGTGTATTCTGTCTTCATAAGACACACTCTGATGTAAGTTAAAGACTATGATAATTATATGTTTATATATTTTTAAGGTGTCATATAATTACTAGTATTGTTATGGACCTTAGACGAAAACAAAAGAGAAAGGAATCTCAAGAAGGTATTTCTGCAAAAGATATGCATTCATCTACTCCGGAATGCAAATAATTTTACACATGTATAATAATCAAGTATTTATCATTACATAAAACGTTAAACTGGCATAAAACTGTTTCTTTATTATTGAGCCATTGCAATGAGAAAAACGTACAAACATATCATTTAGATTTATCACCTAATGCCAACAAAAACCAGAAAATGGATAGATCATCAAGCCAGCACTGTTGGGAGAGTTCAATACCATCAGGTACTTGAATGATGTTGATGTTTAAAAATTAAGAATATATATGATTTTGTGATAAAGGTGTATGTCAAATTTGTCCGCTTGAATGACTGAGTACATGTATATATAAATGGGGTTGTCCTTACTTCCTTACGTCTAGCTGTGTATTCTTCCACATGTCCGTAACACTTTAGGGTACCAAACACCTCATATACCATATGACACCTCATATACCATAGAATAACATTAAATGAGAATTTTCACAAAATCTTTTTAAACGTGCCATTGTACATATGTCCCTTTTTGACTTGCTGATTAGACAGCTATTTGGGGTGTACAGAAGCATAAACAGGACACTGCTATTTTTCTGAAATATTTGGCACTGCCATTCTCTCTACTATCTCTTATCTACAGCTTATTTTCTAGCTTTAAATAAAATCAAATTAAAATTCAAAGAATACGTATATATTTTAACTGCTGTTGTGACTGCCGTTTTACTTTCCAATCGGACAGATTATTTCCTTTTCTAAAAGCATAACCTGGGTACTCTTATTACTCTGGGTATCATATATTTCGATCGGGTAGATATTTGAATTTTCCCATAGCAAAATGCAATATTTCGGACACCGTTGAAATTTCTAATAACAATAAGAGTACCCAGTACCCGTCTTTTAGCTAAATTTCCAATTCTTCTTGTATCACTGAATATGATTCAATGAGACTTTCGCAGAAACTTCCTTACAAAGAGCCACTGTGCCTTTAATGAAACTTTCGCAGAATTGTAATTACATAATGACGTTGTCCAACTCTTCTTTTTCGTTTAGATCGTAAATTTGGGGTTCTATAACAAAACTGGATCACAATTACCATTCCTTCCATTACATATGGGGTACAATTCTATATCGGCATTTCCCACTTAATAAATTCTAAAGAAACGCCCGCAGAATAATTTTTTTTAATACATTAAGTGATGACCGCCGTGTACTAAGTACCTTCTATTTTTTATTTTGGTCGGGCGGATAATTGGGAATTCCCATAGTAAAAGAATGACTTTCTCAATATATGAAAGGGGAGTGGGTTTATTATCTATCATTTTGTATAATAGTTTTGGTGAAAGTAATTTCAAATTTTATATCATAGTTTTGTTGAAAGTAATTTTCAGAAATAAGACTTTGGTGTAAAATATTTTACCATTATTGCAGATGAACAGTTGCAGATATCACATAACGAAAATGAATGTCAATCAAATAAAAGAAAAAGATTACATGAAGGTAATTTGTCCAATTATATGTTTTATATGTATGGTATGTATTTATCCTTTATCCTTTTGGTAATGTAGTGATTGTCTTGGAAATTTATTTATTAATGGAACATTGCACTTAGAAGTTTTGAAACAGTCTGTCCTCAGTATATGATAGTGCTGGGGGCATTGACACAGTTTCAACTGAAATTTTTTTTTTTACCAATTTTAATTTTTACAATTCGTAACTAAGGCAATTCTAATGATCAGCAAAAATTTGAACATCATTTGTTGATTTAAAAGGGAGAAACAGGACTGAGAATTCTTCTTAATGTAAACAAGGCTCGTGCCTTGTTTTTGTTTACATTTAGAAAATATGTCTATAGCAAAACGAGATTCAGCAAATCATTAGAAAATGTCTAATTGTATTTAGAACTAACTTTTTAATTTAAAAATCTGCGTTGACGAACACATATCAGCATGTTTAACCAATGTAAACAAAAACATGGCTCGGGCCTTGTTTACATAACAAAGGTTTGGAGCTCTAAATCTTGTAACTCGACAAATGAAATTCAAAAATTTGCTTATCATTAGAAATACCTTAGTAAATATTTGTAAACATAAAAAATGGTATGAAAATTTTTGGCTGAAACTGTGTCCAGGCCCCTTTAAATGTCATTCATGAATTAAAACGACCTCATTCTCTACACATAATATTTATGTATTTTTACACTAGTTTTCATTAGAAACTGCAATTGATGAAATTCTCAAACCAGAGTTTTCATAAAAAATATGAAAATAACGAACAGTATTCAAGTTCGTAAGTCCATTAAAACAGTACAAACCAGGAGAAGAGCAAACAAGGCCTCTAAAACATCAGAGATAGGATCAGGTGCCATGGAGGAGTGATCATCCCTTCCGACCGGTCACACCCGCCGTGTGTTACTTGTTATGATCAGTGAATAACGATGAAACCCATAAACAATTCACAGCACTAAGTCTCTAATCATTGCTTTGGTACATGTATAACAATTTATTATATCCCCCAAATTTACGTATTTTCCTTATGATTCAACGTTTCCGTCTAGACTCTCCCAATAAGTCTCTTTTATGTTCCCCTACTCTGTCTTCTGGGTGTATATTTAAAGATGCCTTGACACAGACACATGAAGTTAATCTTTTCTCAAAATTTCGGTTTAATATCATGATTTATATGTTGCTGTAGCATTCAAACTTATTTTATCTGGAAATTATTTTGGGATGTGTTTTATTAACATATCCTTCACTTTCACAAAATAATCTTACTCATGAGTAGTGTAACATAATTTTAACTCAATTTTTTATTGCGACTTTGGTATCAATATCTAAACTCAGTGGTGTCAAATTATTCTGCCTTATTTTCAGACAACGGATGTCTTCAAAATGTGAAGAAAGTAAAACGCAATCCAAGACTTCCAATAGATAGTGTTAATAAAGGTTCAACAATATCCGAAGGTAAAAAAATTATTTTTTTTCTTAAAAAAAATAATGCTTTTTTTCATTAAGAATGTCATATGAGAAAAGGATAACAATGAATAATGAAGCATTCTTTTTAATTCTCAGAAACTCACAAACTCACAGAAAGTAATTTATCACTTGTATATTGATTATAAGTAAAACTTTTTCGTATTTTATTTTGTAGGCTCAAACTTGCATGCGTTCCTCTTTGTTCTCATTAAATATGCAGAAGAATTAATGAGGAAAAAATTTAATGAGATCGTTAAACCAGAGAACTTAAAAGAGCATATAGAAAAGCATAGAAAATCTTTTAAATCTTTTAAATCTTTGGAAGAAGTACAGGGAAAACTATTGTTTCCTGGTAAGTAATGGAAATAAAGAGAAAATATAATTACGTTATTTATTATTTTGATTGCAACCTCCATATGACTAGCTTAGTGTTACAGTGTCTCATCCAAAGGTTAAACGCCTATTAGAAATTAATACTTGTCTATTTCTTGAGTGCTTATGACGAGGCCGTGTTTTATTTTGACCAAAAGTCAACATCTTACAATTAAGGATAAGGATTGATAGATAGCAAAAAGATAAGAAAAATCTTCATCTTTTGAAAAAAGAGTCATTTTAAGACAAACATGACAAGCAAGGGTGGGTGTCCATCTTGGCAAAAAGGACTCATTTAGGACCCGGTTAAAGATTCAAGTTCAATATAACTACCGATAACTTAAATATTTCACTTTTATTTTAGAAAATGGAGAAGTTAGTACAGATAATTTTGATGTTACCACCCTGTACACATTGTTTCGGCGAACTTTAGAAAACATAAAGCCCCAAAACGGATGGAATGTTTTTCCAGGAGACGAAAATATTACCCTTGGTGATGATATTGAGAGAATCCATATAATCAGGAACTTCGTGGTTCATCTTCCACTAAATAAAGAATTTGAAAAGATGAAAAAATACAAAGAGGTTTTGCTTCAGGTGTTGATTAATTAATATATGGCACATTTTTTTCTTGTCAGAAATTTTATATGTACAGTATTACAACTTAAAGAAGCTCTTAACACTAACAGAAACTGGTTTTTCGGACTCAGAGAAAAATATATCATATAAAGATATGCATATTGAGACGTTTTCGTTCGTTTAGAACATAGGGTACGTGCCTTATTTGCGCATAAAAAATGTTCAAAAACATTGGACTATTTGGGAGCAGAAATCACTGTTGTTTACTTACATGCGGAAAATTAATGAAAAAGATTAATCAAATTTTTTACTCTTTCTCTAATATAATGCTAAAAATATTTTAATCTATTAAAAATTATGTAATTAACGGTAAATAACAATTTCTTTAATCTACCAAATAAATAGAGCTCTTTCGTGTGCAGTGTTTAGAGCGTCCTTAAACTTCTGAATGCACTGAAGACAAATAAATGCAATGTCTAGCTCCTATATATGCAAATAAAGACGAATTGCATAGGATTTCTTTGACATAGAACCAAAAAATTAATTTTCAAAAACACTTAAATGAGAGAGATTGCCTTTATAATTCTTTATATAATGTTTTTATAAAACCAATTAATGTTGAATTATTTGTCAGAAATTTAACTGTTTTTCGACAAGATGTAGCTCAAGCTACCTTTTTTATCATAATTCCTTTTAACGTACTGGTAGAATAATTTGCTTATAAATTTTTGGGCATCTTCGCTAGCCAAGGGGTTCTGATACGCTACTCTCCTAATGGGGAGAGTAGCGTCCCAGATAGCATGACTATGTTGGGCTAACATTTGTTAAAGGTTGTATGGTTGGCGTTGGGGGAACAACGTTGGGCCAACGTTAGACCAATGTTACCAAGTCAACCTTCTCGTCCATGACGGAATTCCTATGCTGGCCCATTGTTGGTCCAACGTAAGCAACTTCCATTCACTTTAGTTTCCAAAGAAGGAAGGATCATGGCGTTGGCCCAACGTTGGACCAATGTTTATAATACACCCTTAAAGAAAGTTATTTACAAGTTGGTAGTAGTATGTTGGCCCAACGTTGGCCCATTGTTTGTAATACACCCTTAAAGAAAGTGCCTTATCAAGTTTGTAGTAGTATGTTGGCCCAACGTTGGCACAATGTTTGTAATACATCCTTAAAGAAAGTGCCTTATCAAGTTGGTAGCATTATGTTGGCCCAACGTTGGCCCATTGTTTCTAATTCACCCTTACAGAACGAGTCCTATCAAGTTGGTAGTAGTATGTTGGCCCAACGTTGGCCCAATGTTTGTAATACACACAAGTGTTATTTTGTTTAGGTCTTCAAAGATGGGATATTTATATTGGGCCAACGTTGGCCCAATTATTATACTGCCAACTAATTGATGGAGTCAGTTTTATAATTAGCTGCTGAGCTTTACGTTAGGACAACGTTGGTACATTCTGAAATAATTGAGAGGACTTTCTATGTCCATGCTTATCAGTGGATGACTGCTTTTGTTTAGATATGATATTTTCAACATTTTAACTTTGCAATTAAGAGATCAAGCACCAAAGAGTGTTTTATTCTATTTTTTGAATTGTGTATATGCTTATTTATTTGTAATAACCCAGATAGCAGAACACAGTTGGCCAAATCTTACATTATGGTTCTATTATCTATGTTGGGTTACCTTGATTGGGCCAACAATGGCCCAACATGGAATATTGATAGCTGGTCATGTATAATAGTGCGCTAATTTTGGGCTTACTGTTGGCATTATATCATAAAACTATTATCATGAGAGAAAATATTTGTTTGGAGATTGGCATCGGCCCTACGTTGGCCCAATATACCATGAATCGGACTGAGCATCATGGGTAGACAACAACCGGGCTACTTGTAATATCCGCGCCATTTTTAATCTGACACGAGCGTAATGAGACTGATACCTTGCATATCTGCACTCACTTTGTAAGTATTATTAATATGTTTGCCTCGGCACAGCTGAATTAACGTTTAGTTTTTAAACGATATCATGTACAAATCTGTGTAAATCAGACACGGGGAATGCAGAGGCCAGGTGCTGTTGGGTCAACACTGTACAGATAGCATGCTTACATTGGGCCAACGTTGGGCCAATGTAATCGGTTACATCGGGCCAATTTTGGCAAATGGCATTGACCCAATTTAAGTTTGCTCATCGACCCAATGTTGGCCCGATATGTTGGGCCAACGTTGGCCCAATGTAGAGTGTTATTTCTACAGATATTGGCCCAACGTCGCGCCAACATTGGCCCAATAAATGCGACATTGTTGGCGAAACGTCAACAAGAACATTGGGCCGATGTTGGCAAATGCCGTTGGCCCAGTGTCATTTTGCTCCTTGGTCATATGTTGGTCCGATATATTGGACCAACATTGGTCCAATGTGTATAAACATTTGATTGTTACAAATCTGTATATTAACAAATCTGATCGTCTCTACAATCAGAAATAAATCTACAACCAATCCTACTTGAAAAATCAAGCTAGCTAAAAAAAAATTTAAAATTCTCATAATTTATCGAAACAAAATAAATAATCAGTGATTAAATTTTTTGTTTATATACAAGAAAAATAAATGAAAGTATAAAAATGTGTTTTGATACAGTTAAAACAATTAATAATTTGCTCGTTATTTAAATTGAAATTTGTGTCTAGTAGAATACATTTCCGAAGTCTACCACTTAATTTACTTATATACACTTAACGTCGAGAACATGATCAAACATTTTGAAAATGTTGCAAAATTTATTCAGTACTAAAAATTAATTGGGTTCTTTCATTTAAAATTTGTTCAGTGTAACGACAAATTTTCAATACATGTATTTTATATGGGGCAACATTGAATCAAAATTGTTTTGATGATGATATCAAGCGTATAAATATTATGCATAAATGCCTTCATCACGCAAGCTAATCACTTAATCACACCATGAAACAAAAAAGACGGTTATTCCTTAATTGACAGCTTAAACATATAGTGATATACTTGTAAATTTAATCGTATGTTTACTCTTTACTGAGAAAAGTAACAAATATATTAAGTACCAAATATTACAATTTTAGTGCTACTGAAGATTCTAAAAAGACATGCAGAACACAATCAAAGAATGGCTAAGGTATGCCAAGGACAGGGATAAGGGAGGAAGAAACGGACAGAGAAGAAAAGAAAGGGGAGGAGGAGACTCGGGAAGAGGAAATGGAGACTTAGGAGAGGGATCAGATGGAAAGTGGCAATGCCTAACTTTTTTCTGTGATATAGTATGACATTCCTGTAGTTCTACTTTTTTTTGTGTCTGTTTGTCGGTTATAAACTCGATGCAGATGCCAGAAAAATTTTTTCTGTAAGTAAACAAAATGACGGGATTCATTCTAGTATTATTTTAAGAACAGCTAGGAGGGCTTTGTTTATTTGTTAGACGTGCTTATTGATACCTGTAATTTACTGAACTTGTGCATAATTTACATCAGAGAGGGAGTATACAGTCATGTAACCCTACATGTATAGCTTGAAGTGAGCATCCACTTTTAATTCTTTATTAATGTTTTCTTCATGCACTGAGCAATAAAATTATAGTATGTTATAATTGAATTTTATATTTTGATTTCTTTTTTCTCATTTTTTTTAATTAATGTAGAGCTACTTACAATGCAATACTTGTTGATGGCAATTCTATGAGAATATTGAGAATATGTATTAAACTATTAATCTAGCATATATAGCATATATAGATAGTATTAAAGGCTTTTACCATTTAACTGTACTACAAAACTAGTATAACCTTATTGTATATATTTGTTTGTCAATTTTGAGGACAAATGGCCAACCAGTGAAGAGCAAATGAGTTGTCATGATGGAGAGCCAATAAGATACAAACCAATGTTGGCCAAAAAATGATGTTTTCCTGATATTGAAAGAATAAGTGGCCCAACAATGGCTCAATGATATCCGTTCGTTGGTCCAACAATAAGCCAACAAGTTGGTTTGATTAACTAAGGGCCGATGAGCAAAATACCGATGGCCCAACATTAATTGCTTACAATGGCCCAACTGTACAAAAATGACGTTTGCCCAACATTGAAAAAATACATTGGCCCAACAGTGGCCCAATATTAACTGTTACATTGGCCCAACAATAAGCCAATAAGTTGGTTTGATTAAGGGCCGATGAGCAAATTACCGTTGGCCCAACATTAGTTGCTTACAATGGCCCAATTGTTCAAAAATGACGTTTGCCCAATACTGAAATAATACAATGGCCCAACAATGGCCCAATTTTAACTGTTACATTGGCCCAACAATAAGCCAACAAGTTGGTTTGATTAAGGGCCGATGAGCAAATTACCGATGGCCCAATGTTGAATTCAAACAGTGGCCCAACATAAGGAGCGTTGTTGGCCCAACAAAGGTCCAATAACATCCTGCTATCTGGGGTATTAGAAATCCTTGGCTAGCGAAGATGATATTTTTTATGTCCGTGTTTGATCTGTTCCTATTTTGTATTAAGAGGACTTTTGATCTTGAATACTGTTCGTTATCTCCATATTAAATAGACGTAGGTAATTTATTTAAATACGAGTAGTTTTACTTTTTTCATTCTTATGTATTATAAAAATATATAATTTAAACAATATTTTCAAGTCGGTTGTTTTTTTTTTTAACATTTGCTGTTTTTTTTCTACTCAAAAGAAATATGCAGGGAGAAATTTGCGCTAAAGTGACATCACAATGAGTACCGAGACGTAACTACATGTAAATATGTAACGATATTGGTATGGGCAGCGGAAAGGGCAAAAATTACAATAATAAGAAAACAAACAATTATTTTATTTCAATGACCATAAAAACTTAACAAATGATATACAATGCATAATCAACAGACCTTTTCGCAGAACAAATATACATTAAAGCAAAACCAACGAACAAGTACGTAACAAACATACATAAATGCAAAACCAGCGACCATCTTTGCAGTACAAATGTACATAAAACACGACAAACGAAAAAACTTAACCAACGTGCACGCGGTAAATCTTGTGTTCCCGACTCCCGGCTCCCGATGGTCCCGTTTTCTTTTTTTTTCTTGCCGATTTCTTTTTTGTCGGCGCACAGAAAGTCTTCACAATTCTCAGGCAAATTGCTAGGTTTAAAAAAATTCATTAATATATAAAAACTTTAACAAATTTGCGCATTTATTACTGAATCAGCAGTATCATCTGCCTAAAGCGGTAAATCTAGTACTCAGCTATAAATGCGAAAACCACTGAAAAAAGGACACAAATGTTTTCGTAGAATCGCGATTAAAAACAACAAACTGAGGTACAGTTTATATTTTTTAATAAATGAAAACCCGCATTTACATGCTAGATAATTTGTATGCACAGAAATCCCCCCCCCCACACACATTTTTTTGTATAGAACTCTTTGCCACATTATGTTTATGTTCCCAGGTTATACAACATGGACGTGGTTCTACCTCGGATCCCCCTTAAATTTTTTCCTTTTTTTGGGGGGGGGGGTTAATTCATCTTAAAAATTTAAAATGAAAGAAAAGAATTTACATAAAATGTAGAAAAATATCTCATTCTCCTGAAGGCCGTTTCGTCAAATTTTGTTGTTCTTGTTACATAAGTTGGTTTTCCCCAATATTTTAAATATTACAAGAATCTATTATGATAACTTTACATTACAGGGGCATATCATAAGACAGGTACGTAGCAACAATTCCCAATTTTAAGAGTAAGGTCAAAAAAGGGTTATGTAGTACATTTATATTAGGAAAAAAAATTGGCACTGAAAGAAGTTGAACCTAAACCCTCCCCCCCCCCCCCCCCCCCCACACACACACACACTCACACACACACACACACACGAGATTTTCGAGTTTGGGCTATATCATTTAAATTTCCTTTTTTTTTTTGGCTTGTTAAGTTTTTAAAATCTTTTTTTCAGCTAGATTGAAATTTTTTCTGTGGTTACCCCCTCCTTTTAAAAACGATGCTACGTCAATGTATAACAATGCAGTATTAACTTTCATTTTGCATTATTTTACCATAAGTACAATGTTAGATTTAGCTATTTTTATGAAGATTTTGATTTAAATCTTTTTTGAAATCAAATCATTTTGATGTTATGAATTTTTATAGAATTTAATTGTTCATTTTTTTTATTAACATCACCAATTTTCACTAAAATACTGATTCAATCTTTTTGAGAAGAAATATCTTCTCAATATCAATACCTTAAATATCTTTAAAGAAACATGGACACAGATTTGAAGTTAATTTATTTCGTCTTAAAGTTATTGAAATAAGATTGCCACTTTTCCTAAGTATTAAGAATAAAATTAAAATTTGTGAGAGTGCAAGGATGTGTCAATCAAACCCGTCTAAAAATTTGAAGTTTTAATAACTTTTAGATGAAATAAGATTTTTAATATATTTTTTGTGTGAAATGCTATTGAAATATATAAGTCGTAATATTATACAGAAAATATTAACTTCAAATCTGTGTCCATGCACCTTTACTATCTACGACACTTACGTCTCTCTGTATCGATGTCCGTTTTTGGTTTCATATTTATAACGGAGTACTACATTTACCGCTTTTTGGAAGGTGATACTGCTGATTCAGTAATAAATACGCAAATTTGTTTAAGTGTTTACATATTATTGAATTCATTTAAAAAGAAAATGTGCCTGAGAAGTTTGAAGAGTTTCTGTGCACCGACAAAAAAGAAATTAAAAAAAAAAATCCGATGCCGTCGGGAGCCGGGAGTCGGGAAGACTAGATTTACCGCTTGCACGTTGGTTAAGTTTTTTTCGTTTGTCGTCTTTTTATGTACGTTTGTACTGCAAAGATGGTCGTTGCTTTTGCATTCATATATGTTTGTTACGTACTTGTTCGTTTGTTATGCTTTAATGTATACTTGTTCGCGAAAAGGTCTGTTGATTATGCATTGTATATCATTTGTTAAGTTTTTATGATCATTGAAATTAAAATAATTGTTTGTTTTCTCATTATGGTAATTTTTGCCCTTTCCGCTGCCCATATATTGGGCAGGGAATAATTCAAACATATAAGTATATCGTTAATGCTTTTGAACAGCTAGGTAAAATGTAAATAAAAGGAAGCTATTTAAGGTTTGTGTGAATTATTGGTATTTAATTGGCATATTGAATAAAACAGACTTACAAAGCACAACTTAAAAAACATTTCCTAAGTAATGCTAGCTTACCTTGGATTTTAATAAAGTAATGCTTTATATTATCATTAATTAAATATGATGTAAATTTGCAGGCATTACACATTACCAGTATAGTATGAGTTTACATAGCATTTACCATTACATTTAACATTACACTAAGTCTGTTGTACATAAATATCTATGCAATTAGCAGATTATTGACCGTCTTGGGGGCTCCGTAGATGATACCACTCAAGAATTGGAGTCCATTCCTATCCCAAAATTGAGGATTAGAGAGAACGAAACACTTGAAAAAGGTAGGATATATAAATAATAATTAGTGTTGTCAAATCTGACGATTTTTAGCAACCGGTCACTCGCTTCTTCTGCCGATCGAGTACCCGTTGACTTGAATGTTTATTTTTTCTTAAAAGATTACATATCTATAATTTATGTAATTCTTTACTCATCGGTAGTTATAATACACAAACACCGGGTATACTGTTTATGTACATTATTTTTATACACACATAGACACAATATCTTAAAAGAATTTTGATTTTAGATTCGAGAAAGTAAAACTAAAACGCAATGGAAATGCATGGAGAGTTTTGGCCTTACGTAATAATCTCTCTCGGGTGCTATCAAAATCACAGGCACCTGAAGTCTGAATAATAGCCCCTTTTTTTATTGAAAAAAATGTAAGAGTTTATATCTCAAAAATATACAATGTCCTAAATGTCTTTCTATGCAAGCAGATTTCACTCTTTCTTACGTTTAAAAAATGGTCTTATACGGTATAATAAAAAATAAATGTATTGATAAATAAATAAATTAATTAATAAAATGTATTTTTATTATACCGTATAAAGCCATTCTTTAAACGTGAGAAAAAGTAATAGCTACTTGCACAGAACGTCATATACATGATACAGATGTGTTTGACGGGGAAAATTTTTACATTTTTGAGATATTATACAATCTTACATTTTTATGCCCCTGTAAACGAAGTTTCAGGGATATATAGTTTTTGTCGTGTCCGTCCGTCTAGCTGTCTGTCTGTCTCTCTGTTTGTCCGCATTATCATTAACCTTGCCAATAATTTTCTGTCTGTCTCTCTGTTTGTCCGCAATATCATTAACCTTGCCCATAATTTTTGATTTAGTGAAACTATGATTTTCATATTTCTTATGTGTATTTCTTGTAACAAGACATTTCTTTGGGTACCACCAAATTTGACCTTTTCACCTTGGAGTTTGACCCATTTTTATACAAAAATTTCAAACTTTTACTTTAGCCATATCTTTTGAACAGTAAATACCAGGACATTTATACTTCAAATATGTATTACTTGTGGAAAGACCTTTCATTGGATACCAACAACCTTGACCTTTTGACCTTGACCTTGGAGATTTCTGTACTTATATAAAAAACTTTAACCTTGGCAATAACTATTGAACGGTAATGGATGGGGCTTTCGTTCTTCACGTGTGTAATTCTAGTGAGAAGACCCTTCATTGGATACCAAGAACTTTGACCTTGACCTTGGAGTATGACCTACTTTATAAAGCAAACCTTGATCATAACTTTTAAGGGTTAGGGCTAGGGCTTTCATACTTTACATATCCTTGTGACAAGACCTTTCATTTGGTAGGAAAATCTTTGACCTTGAACATGGAGTTTAACCTACTTTTTAAAATTTTTAACCGTGGCGTTAACTTATGAACAGTTAGGACTAGGGTTTTCATACTTTACATATATCTTCTTTATGACAAAATCTTTCATTGGATACCAATTACCTTGACGTTTTGACCTTGACCTTGGAGATTTCAATACTTATGACAAAACTTTAACCTTGGCCATAACTTTTGAAGGCTAAGGGCTAGGGATCTCATACTTCACACGTGTAATCCTTGTGAGAAGAACCTTCATTGGATACCAAGAACCTTGACATTGACCTTAGATTTGATCTTCTTTTAAAAAAGCAAACATTGACCATAACTTTTAAAGGGTAAGGGCTAGTGCCTTCATACTTTACATATTTAAAAATCCTTGTGACAAAACCTTTCATTTGACAGCAAGACCTTTGACCTTAAACTTGGAATTTGACTTATTTTTCAAAATACTTGACCTTGGTCATAACTTTTGAAGAGTTAGTGCTAAGGCTTCCATACCTCACACATACCGGGGGTACATATTAACCTTTCATTGGATACCAATTACCTTGATCTTTTAACCTTGACCTTGGAGATTTCCATACTATGAAAAAAAAACCTTAAACTCCTTATATATTTCAGATTTGTATTTCTAGTGAGTTTGCATTTAAGAAAAGTTTAATCTTCGCTATGTTGCCATATGGGGGCATCAATGTTTCACAAACACATCTTGATTTCAATAAAAAAAAGGGGGGGGCTATTATCCACATTTCAGGTGCCTGTGATCATAATAGGTAACATATTTCCTAGTCAATTCAGTTGTGATTACCCGAAAAAATTTCAACGTGCTGACTTGAATGCTGTTCAAGGAGAAATTGTGGGATTCTTACGAAATACAGGGTCAATCCGATAGCACAGAAATATATGAAGAAACAGCGCTAATCGTCATTTTAAGCTGAAATAAAATAAATACATGTTTTGATACTCAGAGTGACCTTTGGGATACAACGTAAACAAACCTGAGTGGCAAACCTTTCTCTCCTATAATGTGTAAACGGGTATTTTTTGTGGATCGATTATTGTGGGTTTTTTACGATTTTTTTTCCTATTGTACAGGTACACATAATGATTAAATGTTTTAAATATAATTTGTGATAAAAAGTCCAACAAGCCCCAGGGTTGACTATCGGGGGGGGGGGGGGGGGGGGGGGTTCCTGTCCACAAGTACATGTGATCTTAGCGTAGGCTAGTACTTGTGTGTCTCGTTATATTGAAATCAAATTAGAACTGTAGGATGAGTAGCATTTTGAATGCATTTCTTACAATTTTCTAATTTTAGTAACCACGGCAACACTGTTCATCAAAAAAAAAAAGATACACATGTTGTTTGCTCTTTTTAAGTAATGTTTGAATGACATTTTGAATACTAGTCGTCATGTACATATTACTTGATTTTTTTGTTGTCATTTTCAGGTCAAAATACTCCATCTGTCGAAAAAAAATGGATAGAGGAAGATAAGCTTTACTTTGAAACCCATTCATTCAGAAGAATTTGGATGCAAATGAAAAGACGTAAAAACATGTTAATTATTGGTGGACCCAGAATAGGTAAAAAAGCACTAATTCGACATTGTGCTCTTAAACTTCAAACGCAAGGGTTCAGTATATTGCCATTATCAAACCCATCTGACTTGAAATCATTTGCAAAAAAGGAAGAAAAGCAAGTATTTTTAATGGAGAACCTGTATGGACAAGGATTGAATGATAGTTTTTCCTTGATGATAGCATAATATTGAAAGCTAGTTCACTAAAATTACATAAAGATTCCATAATACTGATGACAATGCGAAAGGATGTATTTATCAGAGCAAAAGATTACAGTGAGTTCCTCCAATTTCATTCTGGTATTTTGGATTTGGACGAAAGTCAATTTTCTTTAAATGTAAGTGACAAAAGGGGAATGTTTGACAATTATAGGAAAGGAAAGGAGAATTTTATACCTTCTATAGATTTCTCTGAGGTTGAAAGCAGCTGTTTTCCAGCTTTGGTAAAAATGTTTTGTGACTCAAAAAAATGTCAAGAAAGAGGGGTTGATTTCTTCCACAAACCCTACGAATTCTATCTCGAGGAGTTGAATAGGATAAAAAAAGAAGACAGAATTGCTTATACTGCATTAGTAGTGCATTTATTTGATTTGAATTCAAATTCACGCACCGCATTTAAACTATTAACACAAATTTTGGAGGCATGTGAAGTTAAATCCTGTCTAGAAAGTTTGTGTTCTTTATGGAAAAGTTTTCAGCGAGTAATAGGAACGTTTATCCTTGAAAATGAGGGCGAATATGAGTTCGCAAATGACGTTGTTAAGTTTGTCATTGCACACGATTTTGGAAAAAACAACCCAGAACTATGTATTCGTTATTTGAGCATTGATTGTGTCGCATCAAATATTTTTATTGGTAACAAACGAACATCAAAAATTCCGACTTTAAAAGTAGACAAAAAACATTTTAGTGTCCTTGCAAACCGGATATATGCCGAAGTTGGAAACTTAGAAATATTGCACGCCTTTAAGGCAAAGTGTTGGCTCGATGACAGGTTTTCTGATTTTTTTGTAAAGTTTTTAGAGAAAAGGCCATTTCGGGAGGTAAAGTCTTTGTTTTGGGGAAATTTCTCTATTTCAGGCGATGAAGAAAAGGGGGAAGAAATAAGGGAAGAAATTTATGGTTCCCTTCTAGAATTCTTTGATAAAGACTTGAAGTTGTCGTCTATTCCTGAAATTTTGAAAGTGTTTTATATATTTTCCCCAGAAAAAAAAGATGATTCATATTCAGAGAAAATCAACGAATTTCCTTCTTTAGAAATGTGGAAACTCGTTGCGAAGGGCTCTAGCAGTGAGGATATAGCTATCTGTTTTTTAAAAGATCGTTTTGGAAGAGCATGGAACTCAAAATGGAGAACTGTAGAGTGGAGAATAAATATGATGAGACCAATTGTAGCATTTGGTCTAAATACATTATTTTGTTATGTGCTTGAGCGGAGCAAAAAACTAAAGAAAGGTTTTTGTGAACTGTTCTGCCCAACAGAAGACGAAAAGCGTGTACTTTTTCATCTTGGATGTCTCAGTGGAAGTCGTAAAATTTTCGAAAAAGTTATCGAGAATATTCCAATAAAAAAAGATGAAAAAGGTGTGTTTGAAGAAGGGATGTTTGCAGCTTGTGTTGCTGGATCACGTGGAATAATTTCTGCTCTTATTGAGGAGATGAAAAGACGCAAATTGTGTTGTAAAGGAAATATTGCACTACTGCATGTTGCTCACGTTATGGGGGATCTAAAAATGATAGACATGCTTCGCAAATTCTTTCAATGGAAAGATAATAACATTGATAAGGAAGAGCTGCTAATACATGCATGCAGCGGTAGTCATGAAAAACTTGTACAGGACTTGATAAATAAAGGCGCAAAAGTCAACAGGTGCATTGAACACGGCGTCACGCCGCTATATCAAGCAACAGTAAAAAACAGCCTTAGTATCATAGAACTTCTTTGCAAACATGGGGCAGATCCGACAATGCGAACAGCATTTCAATCTTCACCCCTAATATATGCAAAGAGACATGGAAAAATCGATATTGTGTCATTCTTTGAAAGTATCACCATTCCAAGATGGAATCAAGACAGGTCTTAATCAATTCACAGTTATTTATTTTGGAACATTATGTTACTAATATAACTATAACAATATAGGGTGAAGTTATAAATGATTAATAATATATTGCCTTTTTTGTACTACATTAGAGAAAATGGTCATAAGCTTTAAGGTCATTACTTATTTTAAAAGTAATGACTATTACTATAAAATTTTTTCAATCATATTCTGTATATTATGTACGAAATGTATGTACATCACATTTTTAAAATAAATATTGCATAATCGTTTGTGATCTATGTTTAGTATGTTTTGCTTTGTATTATTTGTTGTTTACTTTAACGTATGACTTGTTTGGTTATTTTGTCACATTATGTTTTGCTTTGCCTTATTTGTATGTACATACATAATGATTTTGACTTGTTTGATTATTCTGTCATTTATTATAGTAAATAAATAAGCTCTTTTATTTCTCTAGTAAATGTTAGCTAGGTCTTGTCTTTAATAAGGAGGTTATGTTAATCGGGTATCCATAAAAAGTATTTATAAAAAAAAACAAGAACCAAGTATGATTAATAAACGATTATTCAAGATATGTATGATTATGTTAATTTATTCTGATATATTGCGTTTTCTAAAGTGAATTATCTAAAATCAAAGCTTCCTTGTTTTGATAAAAGTAAATCTTGGAATATTACTTAATATTCCCATTTGTTAATACATATATGTTCCATAGGTGAGCATATTTAAGCACAAGGTAACTGACCAAATTACAGGAAGCCGTGATCTTTGCAAGTCATAAAATAAGCGGGAATCAATAATTAATCAAATTCTACCATTAGCAATTTTAAGAATGATGTGTTCTGTGTATTATGTTATTTTTCAATTAATACACGCGTTAAAATAAAAACAAAAAATCGCTGTAATTAGCACTTTATGAAAAAATATCTTTTAACTGTAGATGAAAAAACCAGAGGTTTGACAGTTGCCATCCTGTACTCTAGGGGCCTTGGTTCACTTTTGATTTTATTCAATATCTAAACTTTTGCAGTCGGCGTTGGGATATTCGAGAGAGATGTTTGTTGTTTCTGATCTCTGTAGACTTTTTCTGCAATTCCAGGGCGCCTTTACACTGAAAGTTTTATACAATAGCTGAAAATTGCCGGATGACTTTGAAGGTAGATCTCAAACAACACTTGTAGAAAAAAAATTATGTTCATATTAAAGTCATGTAATTTTTATTTTACCATTTAATAAATGATTATGTCCTCTTTCAAGAGACGATTCGAACAACTAACCAGAGGCCCAGGGGCCACAGCGCTCACCTGAGCACATCGGCTAGGAAAAAGCACATATCAGATCAGAACGGAAAGTTTACGGAGGTGGGGGGGGGGGGGTGGGCTTGAATTTTAACCCCCCATGGAATCATGATTTGAACAAACTTGAATCTATACTACCTGATGATGATTCCACATGAGTTTCATCTTTCCTGGCCCAGTGGTTCTTGAGAAGAAGAGGCCAAGCTAAAAAATTCTTTGTTTGCAGTTGCCGACCTATAATTTTTAGACTGGGTAGGTAGGTAGGCATTTTTTTTTTTTTTTTGAAAAAAAAATGTTTGCAGATTTCTGTTTGATAACATAAAAAAGAGTTTTTCACAGGCCTTCTATACATGAATAAGCTCCACTCTTGGTATAAACTACTGATTGATAACGACAAAAATTAAAAATAAAACAGTTTCAATATCCCGAAAAATTGGGGAAAAAAATAATATTACAAAATGGCTAAAAAAAAAGTTTTGGTCGGGTGCATTTTCAGTGGGTCAGTAGGCAACTGCAAACGAACAATATTTTATTTTAGGCAAGATTTTTAAAGATTTTTCCTATATATTCCAATGTAAAACTTTGATCAGCCATTTTGGCCCCACCCTACCCCCGGGGGTCATGATTTGAACAAACTTGAATCTACACTACCTGAGGATGATTCCACATCAGTTTCATCTTTCCTGGCCCAGTGGTTCTTGAGAAGATTTTCAAAGATTTTTCCTTTATACTCCTACGTAAAAATTTGATCGGCCATTTTGGCCCCACCCTACCCCCGGGGGTCATGATTTGAACAAACTTGAATCAACACTACCTGAGGATGATTCCACATGAGTTTCATCTTTCCTGGCCAAGTGGTTCTTGAGAAGAAGATTTTTAAAGATTTTTCCTATATACTCCTATGTAAAACTTTGATCGGCCATTTTGGCCCCACCCGACCCCCGGGGATCATGATTTGTACAAACTTGAATCTACACTACCTGAGGATGATTCCACATGAGTTTCATCTTTCCTGGCCCAGTGGTTCTTGAGAAGATTTTTTAAAAATGCCATTATTTTTTCTCATATTCATAATTATCTCCCCTTGGAAAAGGGTGTGGCCCTTCATTTGAAGAAACTCGAATCCCCTTCACCTAAGGATACTTTGTAGCAAGTTTGGTTGAAATTGGCCAAGTGGTTCTTGAGGAGAAGAAGATGAAAATGTAAAAAGTTTACGACGACGACAGACGACTGACAAATTTTGATCAGAAAAGCTCACTTGAGCCTTCGGCTCAGGTGAGCTAAAAAGACAATTAAGAATAAGTAAAATTTTGGTGGCATAGAGAAAAAGATGAAAGTTATGTTAAATCTTTATTATGTAATGAAAATTAAAATTATTAGTACTTTATTTTTTTAGATTACAGTTGGGTGTCAGTGTTTTGCATAGATTTATTGATTGATTGTATGTTCTTTAACGCCCCTCTCCAGAATTTTTCACTCATATGGAGACGCCACCACCTACCGGCTACAAATTTTGTACTATACTCGGCATTCAGGGCCATTGAGCAGTGAGGGATCTTTTTCGTGCCAGCACCTACTGCGACTCGGTCCCATTCGAAGGACGGGTCTCCACGTCCTACAGTGGGATTCGAACTCGCGACGCGAAGATCAACTCTTTACTTCGCGACTCTAGAGCAGATGCTATAACCACTCCACCACGCGGGCAACCGCTTTGCATAGAAATGTACAGAAAAGTCATTGAAATTCTTTTTTTTCAAGAACAGGAAAGTTAAAAAGGTTGCTATTGATATGAAAGCATCACCAGGTAGTGATTCAAATTTGTTCAAACTGCAAATAGCAAAGCAAAGATTTAAGGTTTCTTCAAAGGTCAACATGTCTAAAAGATTATTTTTACAACACCATTTGCAACGTACTTTCACTTTCAAGTCTTAACATTTGGACAAAATAAACAGGGAAACAACTTTCCAGAGGCTATCCAAGTCCTACTTGCCCTTCATTGATAAACATATTTTGTTTCTGCAGTGATGGTTTTCACTAAAATATGGAATTAATTAGTAAGATGCATTTTCTGAAAAAATATGCATTTTTAAAAAGATTTTTTCTCAATTTAAATATTTTTTCCAAGTATTTTTTACCAAATGATACTTTCTATCTGTTAATCAATGAAAACTTTATAAACTGTTAAAGTTTTAATTTTATACCTCACATAGTTTTGGAGTTATTGTAAAAATAATGTATCTACCATAAACGGAAATGATGACTTTAAACAAGACCGCTGATATTGATTTCTTTTTTCATCAACTTGTTTGTCAATAATTTATCTCGGTATAATTTAATTTTGTTCGTTATGCATCTTTTGATTGGATAATCAATAATCTACATTCTATGACTTGCATCCATCACAATGACTTACTTCAAAAACGTTTCAGTCCGCTTGACGTAATATTTAAAATATGGATATTTAAGGATCTTATTGATAGACCATTATTTAAACGCTGAATTGTCGACGGACTTTTTAGATATTTTTCGATCATGACAAGCAGCACACAACGGGTATGTCCAGTCGGCATGGGATGCTCGCATCTGATCCCACCTCTGATGTTTTAGAGGTCCGTATTTGGTTTGCTTCGAATTCTGATTTGCATTGTATTTTAAGCGTGAATACAGTCCTATTCAGTTCAACCTCTATTTATGTAATCAAATAATTAATTTGGTAGATGTCAGTAAAAGAATGTCAACTTGAGATAATTGTATTTCAAGGGCATGCTCGTAAACAAATATTTCGATGAAGAGTATCTATTATTGCAAGACATATTTTCTATTAAAAAAAGAAAACAATGCAATCATCCCTGAATTTTGCTATTGATTGATTGTTTGTATGCTGTTTAACGTCCCTTTCGAGAATTTTTCACTTATATGGACTCGCCTTATGCTGTTGAAAATTCAAAAACACACTTGTTCCTAATGAAATTTATATTGAGATAACGAACAGTATTCAAGCTCAAGAGTCCATAAAACAATTTTTCAAAAAATAGGAGCGGAGCAAACATGGGCCTCCAAAACATCAGAGTTGGGATCAGGTGCCATGGAGGAGTGAGCATCCCCTGTCGATCGGTCGCACCCGCCGTGTGCTCCTTGTCATAATCGAGAAATAACGGAAAAATTCGTCGTCTTGACATTATAAAAGAATAATATACAAACACTTTCGTACAAGACCGACATTCTGAATATTCTAAATGTAATAATTTTCAAAATCGTTGAGTTCTGCATGTATACGAAGATCGTTGTATTTATATGATTATTTTTGTTTTGAATAGAAGTATATGTTTACATTATGACAATTTTATTGAAAGTAAAGGGACATGAATAAAAAAAATCCTATTGCCTCCCATGGATCTTGATTTCACAAATTTGCAAAATATCCTTTTCACCAGGGCTGGATTGGATAGTCAAGGTTACATAGCGCCCTCTAGTGAGGGAGTTACAGAGAATAAGAATACGGTCACCCAGGTCCGTTGGTCCTGGATAGAAACCACAGGTGTGATTCTTTTCATTATCAGCAACTGTTATTAGAAGATTGTGGGTCCTTCCCGGTTCTGTATGCAAACAGAGAAACTACATGTAAATGTCAAGTTATGAATATCAGGTGAACCAAATGCTTCTTCTGCAGAGTTTAGACTAAATGATGAAAAGTTGCATCGAATTCAAAGTATTTAGCAATGCTTGATAAAAGATACATTCTTGTGTTTCAAAACTAGTGAGAAACAAGATGTGTTTGTGAAACACTATGCGCCCGGCGGCAACAAAATTCTTTAGCATATATATATAGATCACAGTAAAGGTCATAAGGTGAACGACACTTTGGTGTCATTTAAAAGAACGGAATAGGTGGAGTACGCATACCAAATATGAAGTCCCTATCTCTAATGGTTCAAAAGTTATGGCGAAGGTTCAAAAAGGCTATTTTTAGTGTATAAATCACAGTCAAGGTTACAAGGTACTACTACTAGTAATTGACCATGGTGCCATTTAGAAGAACTTAATTAATGGACTAAGCATACCAAACATGAAGTCTCTATCTCTTATAGTTTAAAAGTTTTGCTGAAAGTTCAAAAAAACTTTTTTTTTAAGCATATAGGTCACAGTTAAGGTCACAAGGACATTGACCTTGGTGTCATTCAAAATAGCCTAATCAGTGGAGTATGCATACCAAAATATGAAGTCTAGATCTCTCATGGTACAAATGTTATGGCGAAGGTAAAACTTGACAACAAACAAACAGACAAACAGACACTACGGGACAAAAACAATACACGCCGCGATCTATCGATCCGGGCGCATAAAAATTATTTGTTTAAAACACATTAGAGATAATCGCACATACATAATCATGTGATATGCTATGGAGACCTAGAAAGTCATTCATATCACTCAATGGTGTGTGTTCTTTGAATGAAAATTATAAGAAATTATGGAGACCTACCGAAACCATCAGGCCTGGCATACACCAGGACCTGCTGAACATCTAGTACGGTCCCTAGATCTGCCTGTAACCAGGGGTTCTTCTCCCTCTGGGAGGCGGCCACGTTAGTGTAGTCACAGTCCGTAATGTTGTCCACGGCGTACGAGGGGAGATGTGGTGGGTAGCCATTAGAGAAGACTGAACTCAGACTGACTGATGAAGGCATAATTACTGAAAAACAGATAATTTCTTTAAAATAAACTGTTTAATTCTTAAAAATTATATTTTTACTACTCTGCAATTTTTTTAAGGGAGAAGATGGAAGATTTTACATAATTTAATAAAATGTAAATATATATACATGTGCATGTATAGTTTAGGTGAGTTAAATTAACTTCACCAAAAATATTTATAAGTTATTGCGATGGTTAAGTTGACAAATTCATTATACAAGAATATTCGTTAATATATATCAGTATATAGAATCGAAAGAACTTGAGAGTCCAAAAATGACACTCGTTCGAATGGAAGAAAATCGCCTATGAACAAATCTTTCAAACCTGTTTTGTATATTTGATAAGATAATTTCTAAAAGTACCCGCGCATTGCACTTTGTTATGAGTGTAAAGTGTAAAAAAAAAAATCCGACACATTTTAATACTATTGATTTTGATGTAATGATGAATTGAAATTTTAAAAGTTCATTAGAATTCTTCTTGACAATTTTTTATTTTACTTACCTGAAAAAGTCGACAAGAGAAAAAAAAAAGGAAAATTGCCCAAACTCGCAAATCCTATTTCAGGGGGGGGGGGGGGGAGAGGAATCCAAAATTTGACAATGGTAATTCATATTAAATTTGGATATCAATTCCTTTCAATATCCATTTTTTAAAGCTTAAAATACTACATTTCCTTCATATTACTTTGCTTCTCTATAAAGTGTGAGGGGGGGGGGGCAGATGGATTACAAATGAACATTTTCAATAGTAAAAGTATTGTTGGCAAAGAGTTTGACACAGAGTCTGGCATGTTGCTACATCCCTTTATATTTGATTTTGATGTAATTATTATGAAAAATTTTACATGTTAACCTTAGAACGTGATGAAATAAACTTTTCTATTGTCATTCCCAAATACATGCAGCAATTTAAACCATTTTCATCTGCATGTGAAGTTCAATGGCTCCCAGCTGATTTTCCTTTTGTGTTACCAAGTTTAAAAAAATATAGCAGAAATATTTGGTGGAAAATCTTGCTGTCAAATATTTTTTTTTAAATAAAGGAGGCTTAAAAATTTATATACTTCAGAAAAATAATGATTTCTAATTCAAAATAGCAAATATAAAAATTTTAAATTGGTTGAACAATGAAGGAATCTCATTTATTTTGGACCTTCAGTATTTGCGGCTCTCGGGAAGTAACTCTTGTGTTTCAGTGTATTTTTAGCTTGATTTACGTTTTGTATATTGTATCAACTGACTTTGAAGCTTGATTACATTTTGTTTTAGAGACCTCTTTATCTTTTTGTAATAAGAAGCCAAAATAGAGAATTTCGTAATTCATATTAAATTAGATTTTTGGAAATATTGAAAATATTTAAATTTGACAAATGACTTTGAAGAATTTCCTCCTCCAAAAAGGGAGTTAAAAGTAAAAGATGGATTACAACTTTTCGAATTGTAACCACATTGTCTATAACTTGAACTCGAATACAGAGTTTGACACAGAGTCTGACATATCTAGATATGTTTTATATTTGGATATTTTAACTAGAGAAAGACGTTATATTGATATAACCTATCAAAACTTTCCGGTAAACGTGATGAAATAATAAACTTTTCTATTTTCATTCCCATATACATGCAGCAATATTAAACCATTTTCATCTGCATGTGAAGTTCAATGGCTTCCAGTTGATTCCATAATCTTTTTGTGTTAACCTTTGACACTGTTTAGTTCTGAAATACGCATTCTGTTTACTGTACATTTTTGCGTACCTCATTGAATATTGTGAACTTAAGATTCTATGATGTTTTTGCTATATGCGTTTGTTTCTATTACGCAGTGTGTTTAATTGTATTGGTATTGTCAATTATACTATGTGTTGACATATTTTGTTTGCTTTGTCCTTTATTTATTAATAAATGACCATTCAAATTCCAACACTGCGTTTTCATTTGTGTCAAACAGAGCACCGCCATACCAGGTATCCATAAAATAAAATATGTTCAAATCATACATGAACGTGACACGTGTGCTGTAAGGGTGAACACTTTCTAGAACGAAGTAAGTTTGAAAAAACAAGTCAATGAAATAAGGACGTCATATTTCATGTCAAGGTGCAAACGCCGGATTGTACCGGTCGACAGGAGATGCCCACTCCTTCATTGCACCTGATCCCATCTCATGTCTTTTGGGTTTTGCTCTGCTCTCGGTTTGTAGTGTTTCAGTGTATTTTTTAGCTTGATTTACGTTTTTGTTTTCTTCTTTTTGCGCTTCATTTACAATTGGAAGCCACACAAACAAAGACTATTTCGTTGTATAGAGTCAGCGGAGTCAGCTGGAACCAGCACTATTGGTTGTGTATTCTAAGTTTATTTTAATTCTAATTTATTAAAGACTGAAGGGTTGTTCAATTTTAATTTCTCAATCGTAAAATAAGATTTGAATAGTCATTTCAATTTTAATCCATTCTAGCAAAAATTCAATGTCTTTTCCTTTATAATTGACCCATCACTTGGTTTAATTTTCGGCAGAGTTCATAATAATTATAAAATGTTTACATTTCTTTTCGTTGTCCAAGGAAAGGTGTTCTTAGTATGATATGGGTTATATTTTCTCAGTAGTTTTCCATTTTTTATTGACCAATTAAAATGTTCAGGCGAAATAAAAGTTTGTGAAAACCCCCCTTGTTAATTTGAAAACTATGCCCTGATTTTCTTTTTTAATTAAGTGAAAAGAAAACTTACTCGCATATCAAGTATTTATCGTGGTCGAAAGTTTTTACTTCCCTTTAAATTCTTAGCATTTTCATTGAGATAACGAGTCAAAAAATGTTCTTATTTAAAAAAAAAATCGTTGATAATGAAATGGTTGCTGACTAAATCACTTGCTACTGTATAGTACTTACAATTGCTGTTGTCCAGAATTACGCTGTTAGTCTATAAAAAATACATAAAAAATAAAGGTTAAGGAGGAACTTGTTAATTTATTTGAATTTTTATTTTGTCAAGCAATTAATAATGACAGACTGAGATAACATCGTTTATAACCTTGTGTACCGCTTGAAAAACAAAGCTATCAAATACTGTAGGTATATAAAATCAATTTCAATTTATAGGTGAAATGACAACTGCATGGCAACTAATGGCAAATAGAGTGATAGATGTCCATTTAGAAAATTAATTTATTCTAAATTTACTTAAATATGAGCATCTGGAGTTCGGATTTGATTGATATTTCTTTATAATCATAAATCTTTATAACTGACAGAAGTTTTATTTTTATCCTAAAAAAAACATACCATCCGAAAATATTTGCAGTTATTCAGATCACCATAACTCCTTTCCCTTCCGAGTTTCTTCCAGGCGCAGCATGCCCTACACCGGTAAAGGTCCTTCTGAATTTTACAAATCTCCAGTCCAATACATCTACGGTCGTCACTGCATTTTGTTTTACAATTAATTGCGGCGGAAATCAAACTAGATCCCTCACCAGAGAACAAGACATCAAGATGATTTGATAAAGATCCCCAAAATTCGGTAGAGAAGTGTTCGAAACTGACGGATGCATTACAATGCAACAGTAAAACTACTAACCACGGAGTCGAGTGATAGAAGTGCTGGCGTAAGGACATCGTCTCCCTAGAGCGCAGCAAATGGCCAGTCATCCTTGACATTTTAAGGGACTTCATTGGAACTCAAAATTATTTCATGAATCAATTACTTTGGGATTCGCTCGTATATGAAAATGAGCGTTTTTCCTTTATGCAGCTTCTTTTTTCATATGATCAATTTTCCCCAACAGTATCCCCCACATAGATTACTAAGTATTTGATCTCTTTGAAAATAATGTCTGTTTATATTAATTAAATAAAAAGAAATTTACCCTTCAAACATTCGTGGTTTCATCACTGATTAAAAGAAAATTGATTGAGATAGATTCAATTTCCTTAAAAAAAATCAATGGAACCTTCGGGTTTAACATAATGAAATCAAACATATTACAACACCTACTTCTGTCTATTAATAAGCAGTCTGATAAATAAACCCACAGCATAAATTGTTAATAAGAATTTTTAACACTTTCCAATTTTTATAAATGTTTTAACCTTTGGAACTTCCTATGTTCCGTGTTTGATGCTCTATTCACAAATTTGTGTTGTTTATGGGCTTTTTTTTAAAGATCGGTATAAATAACTGTTTTTAGTTTCCTTTTTTCATCTGCATAACGTAAAATTGTTGATCTAATATCCAAGTTACAGGGCACATGGTTGAAGTACTAACCTGAGAGTTACCAGATGGAGACAGAGAGGACTGGTATGTGTTCCATGATTACACGTAAAACACCTGATACCAGAAACTAGCGCCATGTTACTACGAGTAACTATAACAGGCCCTACTCTATAGTGAAAATTATCCCCATTTCAGATTTACCAATTTACCATAATCTAGTGCATGCAAGGATCTAGCTGCAGATCTGTAGCGTTATGGTTTTATATATTTGTCTTTGACCATGACGCTACAGATCCCGTAATGCAAAAAAGGTGCACTTTACGACGCAATATTTTTTGCGCACTTTTGGGGAGAATTTCTCCACTTTCCAGCATCGGTTAATTAACAACCTTCCATTCCCTAATCCTAGGCACATTATTTAACTAATCTGTATATTTTATCCATCTACCTTTCCTTTATAGTCGTTTCTACAAGTGATAAACTCGCTCGATTAAAATTATATGTTAGATTGCTGAAAATTCACTTCAAGCGAGTTTATTGCCTGTAGAGACAACTATAAATGGTTGGGAGGTGTATAAAAATACACATATTGGCAACAGAATGAGCCTGGAATTAGGGACTGAAAAGTAATTAACTGACCGATGCTGGAAAGTGGAGAAATTCTCCCCAAAAGTGCGCAAAAAATATTGCGCCGTAAATTGCACTTTTTTTGCATTACGGGATCTGTAGCGTCATGGTCAAAGACAAATACATAAAACAATAACGCTACAGATCTGCAGCTAGCAAGGGTCTAGAGATGGGGGATAGGGGGGTCCGCTCCCTGGATTTTTGCAGAGTTCTTAAATGTATACATTAAACCAAGTAAAAGTGACCTTGGAACACCCCCCCTCCCCGAAAACGCTGACCCCCTCCTCCAATATGCGAATATGTGCTAATTAAATGGCTATGAAAAGTACTAGGTTTCTAGGTATGAAGCTTCATAACCCCCCCCCCCCCCCCACACACACACACACACACAATGGGGTTGCATATTTATTTTATGCTTTTCTTTTTTGTCAAAAAGTTTCTGGGCTGGATTTTTTTTGACTGGGTTCAACAACCCCACCCCTTCCCCGAAAAAAAAATCCTGGATCCGTGCCTTCAGTGCAAGTTTCTGATGTATTTTTTACTTGTTTATTTTTTAAAAACTTTATTTGAAATGATCAAATTTAATTATTGATTATATGCATTAGGCCAAAGTTATATCTTTGAAATATCATATAAAGGTTGGATAATGAAACACACGGTTACTCCGGGAACCAGTCATACAGTTGTCCTTTGATAGCAAGAAGACCTGAAAAAATGTTGTCCTTTGTCATTTGCCTTTCGCAACAGCCTCTAAGGTCAAAACCACTTAACCGAAAGAGCAGTAGGACTGTTTCTGTTATAGTCTTCTCTGTTGAAAATCCCATGGGGACCAATGGAACACTGTTATAAGCAGACCTATTTTTGTATTCATATGGAGCCCAATTTATTCAAAAACTAATACAAGAGAAAAAGAAAACACTTGCTGTAGGCTTTAATTCTATATATACTTAAAGTTATATCAACGACAATTTTCTAATTAACAAAATTTATACTTTCTTTCATATATGTATAACAAATTGATCTATCCTAGTGAACTTGAAAGAGATAACAGAGAGTCAGGCTCTTATAAGACAGTCCATGCACCTAGAAATATTTCTTTTCTCTGTGATACCTCTCTGAAAGTTACTAGATTTATTTCTTGATCATTCTACCAGAATGTAAATTTCACCAACGGATAGGTGAGGGGCTAAGGAGGCCTAATATGCATGTAACTCTCATGCATCTCTGTGCTTCTCCCATTATGCAAATTATCTGTTTTGAACTATCGCTGATGCCCTAGCATACTCTACTAACTAGACAGTGATTCCTTAAGAGAGACTCAATAAAGAACTATATGCGGTATAATGCATATATTTTCCCCCACAAAAGTCAAATTTTGAAAACTTCCTGAAATGTGCTGAGTTCAATAAATTGTATGCAGAAAATATTATAGTGTCAAAGCAGTGCCAATTTTTGTTTTTATGACGTCACAAAATAGTCCAATTTTATATCATTTTTGAGAAAGAGGACAAAATGGACAAAATTTCAACAATTTTAGCTTTCAAATTTATAGAGCGCAAGTTTGTTCAGGAACAATATTGACATATTTCATTAATATTATCTACACATTATATCAAAATATTGACAACACACATGCACTCGTGATTCCTATGTACAGAGAGACTTAACCTGTCCGTATATTTATGAATATAAATCATACTTTGAAGTCAATATACTAAATTTAAAATATTATATAAATATTTTTTTCACAAAAGGTTAGTGGAATTTGGCAGCAGGCATAGCCTATTTTAGCCCTCTGAATTTATATAATCATGTTAATTACACTCCCCCCTCTCCTATTGTATGTTTTAGAAATAAACAGCAAAGTTAAAACATTTATAGGAAAAGAACAGAGATGGAAACATAAAATCCTGGGAAACCCTAAAATACATAAGCTACATCTTTTTTTTTTAATTACAAATCATTTCTATAAATCATGAGAAAAATCTCGTGTTTGAATAAGTTTATTAGTCTATACCAAAAAAAATCAAATCTTTGACAATGAGAAGTAATTTTGACTAGTAAAGCATAGTTTAACTAATGCACAGAAATTTTCTTTCACTTCAAAGTTTAAAGGACAATGAATGTAGAATAGTAAAAATGGAAATCAAAATGAAATTGATGACACATTTTCAATTTTTTGATATAATGAACTACAAAAATCTGCATGTCTTTACAATTCAATATTTCTAATCTCACTTTCAACATTATAAACTAACTACAATTTATACATCTAATTTTTATTTTTAAGTTTGAGAATACCCTCAGCTGATAATTTCAAATAAATTGTAGTCTGCATCTTTAATTTCCTCGTATCCCATTACAAAGAAAAAGAAATACGAAATGTTGGCTACATAAAGAAATTCAGAAAAATGCATGTCCCCTGAGATTTGAAGGAATAAGGACTTTAATAATATTAATGGGAGATAAGTTTTGATCCTGAGAGTACTGCAGACTATGTTAGCGATACAAATAAAAAGGCCCTATATAAACAATCCTCTACGTTTTCATGATAGTCTTCTCAATACAGGAATGTACTATGAAAGATTTTTAATGATAAAACAAGTTTCAAACTAAACTGTCATATGGATTGAATCTCAGATATTTTGATACATAAAAACATCACATACTGATTAGCAGTATCTTAAGGAGTGGATCCAAAGTCAAAACAATGGATGGTATGTTATCCAAGTTTTTTGTAGAAAAAAATACATTAACAATACTAAATTTTACAATTTTAAACCCTTCTCCATAAATATTCAACCTTTGGATCCACACCTAAAAATAATATAAATCCTTTATACCAATTTCTTCTGGTTAACATGATTACATAAGACACACACAGACAGACATACACACTGTTCTTCACCAGTCAACTCTCTCACAGTAAATGTTGCCATTTTATATTATTGCTGGGCAACGTTATAATAAAATTGATATTCCAGAAAAAAGAAAAGCTAAATGTTAAAATTCTACTGAAAAAAACTACCATTATCAGTATTTCATCATTTCTACAAAATTACTTCAATCATGTACATTATATCTAATTCATTTTATAACTCTTCAAATTTGTTCTCAGTTGGGAAAAAAAATGATTTACAATTACTTTCATGAATTGTATTTTAAATTTGGCACTTAATATTTTTTCTATCAAACATATGAACAAAGAAAATAATCCAGGAAGGACTACATGTATTTTATCCATTTTTTTCTGCATATTCGTGAATATTTGAAAAGAAAAGAAAGAGAGATAATATCCCCATTAAAAACAAAACATTTTTCATTTGATTTTGTACAAACTGTCGGCAAACATTAACGAAATCATTTCATCACAGAACAAAGTATCTCAATATCACAATAAGTAGTGCTTCAAATATCTTATAATAATTCAAATAACATTCTAGGGGTGTCCAAGTTAACAAATCGAGCACACCTTTAACACACCTAAAACAATGGTAAGCTCCAAGTCATCAAGACTTGTATAATTTCACACAACAAAGGGTACTGTATGACTCTAAAATCATAGTGAGATGTTCTATCTTCTAAGAAAGGATATGGCTGCATTTTTAATATCTGAAAATTAAGAAAATCAATTAATTTATATATTGTCATGTGAATCATGCATCATGATTATTAAAACTAGAAAATGAGCTCACTAAATTAATTTATATATTGTGGCAATGTGTAATAAAGATTCTGTGAAAGTTTCATTAAATTTCATTCAGTGGTATGAGAGGAGTTGCGGATAAGAGATCATGCAACAGACGGACGGACGGACAGACAGACGGACGGACGGACGGACATCATGATTATTAAAAAAAAGAATTATGCAATAGTTGCAGGGTTTAAGGCAATTTAAATCAAAGGCAAATAACATATATATATGCAAAACAATGAATAGTTCTTAACATAAATTTAAGTGAATAAATATCTAAAAGCAACCTATATTTGACCAAAGGAATTTTTTTCTGAGCTAGTTTTCTCCCATGTACTCCATATGGTGTGCAACATTTAATCAACATATTTTCTGTGATGTACTGTAGAAGCACAAATTTTCGTGGGGATAAAATTTCATTGATTTGTCATCAAAAATAGTTTCGTGGGCATTTAATTTCGTTGTCATATAAAATTTTGTGTGGGATTTAATTTCGTTGATAATTGTTAACATTGAAATAAACGAAATTAAATCCCCCACGAATATTTGTGCTTTTACAGTATACGATTCTCAGAGCTCAAGATAAAAACGTTTGTTTTAATACTGTTACTTGACTGACCATAGATTTATGTGCCACCTAAATGCTCTTTTTTATGTACAATGCAGAAATTATATGTCTGTACTTATTCCTTTAAATTTTATGCTTAATATATGTCACAAGTTCCCCAACACTTTTGGGCAGCTGCGAGGTACATAGAAAAAAGATTTTGGCCTGAGCCTCATAAGTAGTTTAAAAGGTTTGTATTTCAAGTTTATAAAAATAAGTTGAAAAATTAGAAAATTTACCTGCCCTGCTTGCTATATTTTTGTCAGCAAATAATAATAATAACCAGACTTCTCTTTTTTACGGCCCTACCTATAGTGAATTACAGCATGTGATACCTGCACTTCTCTTACGTGTAATAATTTGGCTTTTTAAGGCCTTACCTATACCAGAGCTGTGGAAAACTGCCGGTCATGCCGGCAAGACCGGCAAAAAATGCCTGTGACCAGTAAAAATGCTATCGATGTCGGTCCAAATGACCGACCTCTTTCTTTGTTCAAAGTATTTGTTTTTCCATTTTGATTTAGGCCTATCATCGGCGCACTTCCCAGCTTAATTTTCGAACCCTATATACGATTGCGCAATACTTTTTCTTTTCATGAGATCGAGGCTATAGGAAATGAAAGCGAAACCAGCATTGTCCATGTTGTCTCGAGTGACCTTTTAAATTTACAAATGGGACAGAATTAGGTAGTTAACATAAAAAAAATTGAGACAGGCTAAATACCTGGATATTTAAAACATTTTGACAAAAAAATTCAAACACAGTTGAGTAAAGCGGTAAACCTAGTACTTAATTCCGTTGTTCCTACTGTCCCAGATTTCGTTTTTTCATCGATCATGTCCATGATGTTACCGTATCTTTTTTATCAATGCAAAGAATTTCTTAGACTCATTTTCAATGTAAAATATAATTCCCAAATTATGCATTAATGTTTTAAAAAAATCACGTTTACTATGAAGAATTATCATTGTCACCTGCCCAAGTGATGAAATCTAGCATTGTTATAAATGCCAAAGAAAAAAAAAAAAATGAAAACGGAGGAGGACTTGAAAATGAGGACTGAATGTTATTACTAAGTAAAGTGTAATTAAGAAAATAAATGGTATGCTTTTCTTTTTAATTTTGCAACTTACTATTTCGGACCGTTAAAAATCACTTCGGACCGGCATATTTTGTCTTCTTGCCAGTCCGAATGACTGGCTATCTGAAAAAGTTTTCCACAGCTCTGCCTATACTGAATTACAACATGTGATACCTGCTATTCTATTACCTGTAATAATTTGGCTTTTTAAGGCCCTACCTATCGTGAATTACAATATGTGATACCTGTTATTCTCTTACCTGTAATAATTTGGCTTGAATGGACCTGTCTTATTCAGACCTAAGTATTTTGCCTGATCATCTGACAGTTCAGTTAAGTGGGCATCAAATGTGGGCAGGTGTAAACTTGCTACATATTCATCTGGAAGACAAGAATATATTTATAAATAATAGATATGCAAGACATCAACATTTTAATAAGGAAAATGAAACAGCTGGAGAAAATAGTTTAATGTTTGTTTTCAGCATACTAATACTCAACAGACAAATCAAGTATGGTACCAGGGGGAACAAGACCCCTAAAAAATAATTCTTGAGTGTCCCTTCACTTTGTTTCATTCATTAATGCTGTTTGATCAACTTTTTTTCATGTTAATGTTTTCTATTATCCTTATTCTTTGGTATTATTTCAAATAGATCACCATAAACCTAAGATAACTGGAATTTATTGATCTACTTAAATTTTGTTGAGACTTTCAACGAAAACCTTTGTCAAAAACTTCATTAACCTATGTCTTATTTATACACCAACTCCAATCAACACTACTGACCCATTTTCTTTGGCAGTAGATAGACGTCCTGTTTGTAGCGGCCCTGTGGAGCATTGTATAGTTCTATCAGAGCTAAGGCCTGAGTCGCTGATGTAATGGACACCACAAAAGAGGGGACACTAGAACAGCTTAGGTTAACAAGGCGACCCTAGAGTAATGAAAAGGTCAAAGTTCACTAGATTACTAACTAAGCATCATAAAACTCATTAAGAAAGATCAGCATAGCATATAATCAAGAAGAGAAAATGATGGCATGTATTTCTTTAAAGCTCATCTTTATCTAGTTTTATCTTTCTGTAATGAAATGTCTGTTATTTACTGAGGATACTTACCTCTGCTAGCAGAATGATCCTCTTTCCGTCGGGCCAGATAATGTGGTCTACCTGTGATCTCACCTTCTCCCAGGTAAGGTCAGGAGTCCTCAGGGAACCCTGTGTAGAACAAAAAGATAACAATTCAGGACTGATTCAAATAAAATGTCTACAACTAGATTTAACAAAAGAAATACTTCATTTAACCTCATTTGAGAAATATTTCTATCAAATTTAATAAAATCAAGAATACTATGTTTAAGTAAAATGTTTCCTGCTTTCTGTATGAGTGCATAAACATATAAAATGTAAACACATAAAAAGACAAGGCTCAATGTTGTCATCACTTCAAAAACAAGAGGCCCATGGGCCACATTGCTCACCTGAGAAGCTTTGACCATTCTGTTCTTTACCAGATTTCCCCCTTGTAATACATATTGTGACCCCGACCTACCCCACTGATCAGAATTTAGACAATTTGAAATCTACACTACCCCAGGATGTTTCCACATAAGTTTCTGCTTTTCTGGCCCAGTAGTTCTTGAGAAGAAGATTTTCAAAGATTTTTCCTATATATTTCTATGTAAAACTTTGATTCCCCATTGTGGCCCCGCCTTATCCCCGGGGGCAATGATTTGAACAATTTAGAATCTATACTACCCCAGGGTGCTTCCATATAAGTTTCAGCTTTTCTGGCCCAGTGGTTCTTGAGAAGAAGATTTTTCCTATACAGTAAAACTTCTCTAAACCGGCCGGCTGCCGGACTGAATAAAATGGCCGGAGTAGAGGGGTGGCCGGTTTCCCGAGAATCTAACATACTGAAGAAATTCAGAACTATGTGACAGATGCTAGGAAAAATATATAATTGGCGTCTGTTATAATTGTTTGTCAACATGTTATTAATTATCGACAGACAGGTAATGTTATTCTTAAGATCTAAAATATTAAAGGAGATTATTATTAGTGAGGATAATTTCGACATACATGTTGATTTTTAAAAGAAATTAAGAAATAAGAACAGGAAAAACATGGAAAGTTACTTTATTAACCATATGCGAAGAAATAAACCAGACCCTTTACCTTAACTGCACTCAATACAGAATACTGCATGTGTTTGTGTATCGCTTACGTCATTAAAAAAAATGTTGTACTTCAGTCAAAAGTAAATAAGTAAAACATTTCTGAGCAAAACTTCTGTCATATAATTATGAAATGTATATTTTGGTAAACATTTTATTTCATTTTTTTTTCAATATGGCGTGCGATAATTTGTTGATTCATTCTGTGTTTAAATTTATTAGTTGCTTGATATTTTATTAAGTCAAGTTTAATTGATATTAATCATATGTACACAGCTCAGACCGGCCATTTATGTAGTCTGGCACGATGACTACCCCTTCAAGACTGTTAAACACTAGAAAACCCTATGTCCTATGAGGCCATATTCAGTTTTTCACACCTCTGACTTCTCGTGGGTAGGATATTTTTCACACCTCCAGCCGGTCATTATTACCCCTCTGGCCAATGACGGTTAAATTTTCTGCAAACAAAAAGTGGCCGGTATGATGAGGGGAAATTTCCTTAAATTTCTTAACTTTTGTTCTTGGAAAAGTGGCCGGTGTCCGGTTTTCATTTTGTGTAAAGAAATGTTCCTTATAAATTTGGCCGATGTTCAAGAATTTCCAGGGGGGCCGGTTTGGAGAAGTTTCACTGTATATTTCTATGTAAAACTTGGATTCCCTATTGTGGCCCCTCCCTAACCCCGGGGGTCATGATTTGAACAATTTAGAATCTATACTACCCCAGGGTGCTTCCACATAAGTTTCAGCTTTTCTGGCCGAATGGTTCTTGCAAAGAGTTTCAATGATTCTTCCTATATATTTCTATGTAAAACATTGATTCCCCATTGTGGCCCCGTCCAACCCCCGGGGGTCATGATTTGAACAATTTAAAATCTACACTACCCCAGGATGCTTCCACATAAGTTTAAGCTTTTCTGGCCCAGTGGTTCTTGAGAAGAAGATTTTCAAAGATTTTCCTATATAATATCTATGTAAAACTTTGATTCCCTATTGTGGCCCCTCCCTAACCCTGGGGGTCATGATTTGAACAATTTAGAATCTACACTACCCCAGGATGCTTCCACATAAGTAACTTTTCTGGCCCTGTGGTTCTTGAGAAGAAGATTTTCAAAGATTTTTCCTATATATTTCTATGCAAAACTTTGATTCCCTATTGTGGCCCTGCCCTGACCCGGGGGGTTATGATTTGAACAATTTAGAATCTACACTACCCAAAGATGCTTTCAAATAAGTTTCAGCTTTTCTGGCCCAGTAGTTATTAAGAAGAAAATTTTCAAAGATTTTTCCTATATATTTCTATGTAAAACTTGGATTCACTATTGTGACCCTGCCCTACCCCGGGGGGTCATGATTTGAACAATTTAGAATCTACACTACCCAAAGATGCTTCCACATAAGTTTCAGCTTTTCTGGCCCAGTGGTTCTTCAGAAGAAGATTTTCAAAGATTTTTCCTATATTCCTTTGTAAAAATTGATTCCCCATTGTGGCCCTGCCCAACCCCCGGGAGTCCTGATTTGAACAATTTAGAATCTACACTACCCCAGGATGCTTCCACATTGAACAATTTGAAATCTACACTATCCCAGGATGCTTCCACATAAGTTTCAGCTTTTCTGGCCCAGTGGTTCTTGAGAAGAAGATTTTCAAAGATTTTTCCTATATATTTCTATGCAAAACTTTTGATTCCCTACTGTGGCCCCGCCCTAACCCGGGGGTCATGATTTGAACAATTTAGAATCTACACTACCCCAGGGTGCTTCCACATAAGTTTCTGCTTTTCTGGCCCTGTGGTTCTTGAGAAGAAGATTTTCAAAGATTTTTCCTATATATTTCTATGCAAAACTTTGATTCCCTACTGTGGCCCCGCCCTAACCCGGGGTCATGATTTGAACAATTTAGAATCTACACTACCCCAGGGTGCTTCCACATAAGTTTCTGCTTTTCTGGCCCTGTGGTTCTTGAGAAGAAGATTTTCAAATATTTTTCCTATATATTTCTATGTAAAACTGATTCCCCAAATCTACATTACCCCAGGATATTTCCACATAAGTTTCAACTTTACTGGCCCAGTGGTTCTTGAGAAGAAGATTTTTGAATGACCCCACCCTATTTTTGTCTTTTCTTGATTATCTCCCCTTGTGAGGGGACTTGGCCCTTCATTTTAACAATTTAAATTCCCCTTCACCCAAGAATGCTTTGTACCAAGTTTGGTCAAAATTGGCCCAGTGGTTCTTGAAAAGAAGTCGAAAATGTGAAAAATTTACAGACGGATGAACAAACGGACGGACGGACGACGTACAAAATGTGATCAGAAAAGCTCACTTGAGCCTTCAGCTCAGGTGAGCTAATTATACATCCCCCATTAAAATCATATACAGCATGTGAGCACAACTGGACACTCATACATCATTTTAGGGGCTGTAACAAACATTGAAGATGTCTAAAATGTATACACATATACAAACAGACAGAAAGATGTACAACTCACCACATCAATTTCTGTATTGGAATGACCCATATTACATACTATACAACCAGTCTTCATTTTGTCCATATGATTCCTTGTTACAACATTCTTGTTTCCTGATAAAATGAAAATGATACATATATTGTACTTCTGTATTCTGTAGCATCCTATGGGACAATATTCAACCATAAATCACAGTAAAGGTTTCTACTAGTAACCTGGAATATTTCAAAAAGTTAGGTAATCAAAGATTGTGCAAATCACCTGGAGGAATGCTATCCACAAGTGAGACAAATCTCAGACCTATTTAGCTTTTTTTAAAATGCATGTACATGTAATTATGCCCTGTTCACATGGAGAGTTTAATTTGAATTAAACATAAAGTTAGTGCAAATTAGCTTCGCTTAGTGTTCACACAGAGAATTTAATGCAAATTAGTTTAGGCCATAATAAATAAATTGCTAGATTCTTATCCAAATTTTTTTGAAAATCAAGGCGGGCGGGCGGCTTTTATTTTATATTTTTTATTTTTTCAATTTTGCAGATTTTTTATTGACCTGGTCAATCGGTGTAAATTTATCTACAATACCCGAATAAAAGTCATTGTAAAGTTTCAATTATCTCTTACTTCACATCATCACCAATCTTTTTCAACCAATGACCCTTGTTTAAAATATTTACGCATGTATTACAGCAATTACCATCTTTTCAGCTGTCAAAATCATGTCGACTTTTGTGGGATTTAAAACGAAAGTAGAATGGTAGATGAATACCGATCCCGATCAGAATTAAGATGAAATAAAACTGATATTAAAAAAATCGAGGCGGGGGTATACAATCCGGGCGGGCGGGGATGAGAATCTAGGGATATTTTTATTATGGCCTTAATTCGAATTAATTTATTGCGCATTAAATTACTTCGCATTAGCTCCATGTGAACACTAAGCGAATTGAATTTTGACCCATGCGTAAGGCCAGAATTAAGTCACAGGACACATGTTGGTGGTTAGATATATCTGTGCTATACTTGGTTAAAAATCAAGGAAAAGTATGGTAATCATTAAATGTATATAACCTGTAGCCACTATGATTATTATATCAAATGTATGGCTCTGCACACACGACATGATTAACAAATGATGTAATAATAGCCTTACTGAATAGTCTTTTTGTAGAAATAAAATTTTCATTGTCATTAGTTTACTTCACTTTAGCTATTGAGTGAACGCAATTTATTTCCATTATTTCAATTCGCATAAGTTTACTTTGCATTAATTTACTGCGAATTAAACTCTCTGTGTGAACAGGGCATTAGTTTGTATCTTGAGATCACTATCCATGCATTTTGGTTTAAATAGGACATTTAGGGCAAGCAGATTTTGGGAATGCACCTGCTCCAAGCAATTTAACCTGTCACTCATACAGAAGATGTACGTCAGTTCCAGTATCTGAAGGCAAGTCTGGTGTTATCAATTCCTAGTTGTATTATATTTGCAAGTTATGTAAAACAGGCCATAAAATTATAGAGGTACTCCAAAAACAGGCCACTCAGCTGGAAATATAGGTCAAAACCAATATCTTAAGCAGATAGGGTAGTGTTAGCTGCAGATCTGTAGCTCTCCGAAAAAATATATATTGATAGACAAGAGCCACCCATTGAAAAAACTGTATATTTATTGCGCACAAAAAATGCGCTCGGTTCTCGATTTATTTCTCCATGTTTTTAAAGCTGTAATCTCAAAATATTACTAACCGTGTGTTTCTAACATATTCTTTGACTCTTTCCACAACAAAACACTCCTCATAATTGTTGTTAATAGTCCTCCTGGCTCTGATATTGCCATCATCGGACATTTCGCTTATTTATACTGCCATTTTGGTTTCAAAGATAATTCGGTCCAATATGCTTCGTTCAGATGTCAACTACGAGAGAACTTGATAGAGGAGAGAGTAATTTTTTGAAATCTTCCATTTTTTGCAATTGAGGTAAGAATTTGGAAAAATTAATCAAGAATCGAGCACCCTTTTTAGTACGCAATAAATATACAGTTTTTTCAATGGGTGGCACTGTAGCTCTCCGGTCTATCAATAATTTTTTTCGGAGAGCTACAGATCTGCAGCTAGGGTAGTGTTAATACCAAGATATTTCATCCAGGCTAGTTTGGTCCAGATAGGGTTAATATTTACTTTATACACTTTACCTTGAAAATAAAGGTCAGATCCAGCATCCAAAGCAGACTGGGTGGTGAGCATCCTAAGATGCAAGTTTGGTCCAGATTGGACTTGCAGTTACTTGAAAATGACTTCTTACCAAAACGATGGCTAATTCTGAGGGGCATTTGAACTCATCTTGAATTTATCCAGGTGAGCTAACAATGTGTGTGTCTTACCTGTACAGGTGATGAGGATATCAATACTCTTGACCACTTCATCCAGCCTGGTCACTCGGAAACCATCCATGCTGAAAGTTAAGAAAAACTCAATTACGAAATGTAATCTTAAAGATCAGGATAACATGTATCTCATATCCAAATAATACAAGAATTAACAGAATTTATATCAAATGTACAGAAAGTGTGCACATATTATAAAACACAGAGCAAAGATGACTATTTTAAACACATTATCTCTCATATCACACTCTGCATTGTTTACAGAGATCCTGAGTTCTTACCAAGCCTGGAGGGCACAGATTGGGTCAATCTCTGACACCATTACATTACAACCAAGTCCTTTGAGAGCTGATGCACAACCTTTTCCAACCTAAGAAAACGATTAAAAGACAATGATTAATTTAAGAAGGGGTTTTGGGATGGTTGAAAAATCTTTACGAAACTGAAATGCATTCATAGTTACTTCAAGTTACTTTAAACATGTTCAGTTCTAGGGTTGTTTAAAACAATAGGTTTTTAAAGTAAATACTTTGGCAAAAAAAACAACAAAAAAAAAATTGTGCAAAATAGAGTGGAAATCGAATTTTCCTGGAGAAATTGATTTCCTGATCTAAGCTTAAAATTTGATTGAACAGTATTAATGATTTTAAATTAACCCCTAATTTTAAATCAATTTAAAAAACATTTATTTTCTTTTTTCTTGAAAAGTTAATGAGTTATTCCCCTTTGCCTTACCTCTCCATAACCACAGATGATAATTTGTTTTCCACCAAACATGACATCAGTCGTGCGTTTTAATCTGGAAAATCAAAAAATTGGTTAAACTTTGTCACTTCTTTACCTTGAAGCCAGTGGGAAAAACTCAGAGATATCTGATGGTTTGAGGTATTTGGGTTAATAAGTTACATAATAGACAATTGGCTGGAAATTTTACCTAATTTTATATCCATGATGTTTTAGATACTGTATCATACTTTGAGATATGAAAATCAACAGAGAATAAAAGGATACATAGGCATTATCTTTATCAATTTTTTTTAATAAATACATTGTTATTTATAAATAGCTATGAATTTCTCACTATTTTCCTAAAATATATTTGAAAATATCATAAAATTTTCACCATGCAACAAATTTCTGTTTTATCAAAACTTCAACCATAAAACCAAATCAAATGTTTAAAAAAAATTCACTTACGCATCGAGGATAGATTCCCTACAGCTGTAAAGATTATCAAACTTTGTCTGGAAAAACAAAAAAAGTTTTTAGTCAATATAATGAAAGATAATTGCCCGTACATCAAAACAATCTAGATAAAATTTCTCTATAGCTGTAGTTGAAAGGAATAATTGTATCAATTTCATGAACATGAAGCAACTTTTGTAAAAGACTGCCAATTTTTAAAATTAAATGCAACCATCAGGAAATAAAGTTCAAGGTATTTATAAAAGCAAGGTGGAAATGGAAGGTGGAAATGACACAAAATAGAATGGCACTAAAGCTGAAAGAGACAATGTATTACTTTTTGTTTTTACAGAGTTACCTACCTTAGTGACGGAGTCATTGACGTTCATGGCTGGGACGGTGAGTTTTCCGGACTTGGAGAGCTGATAAAGACGATGTACGCCTGTCACGCTCTCCTCTACAATTCCCTTAATCATGTTAAACATGGCAGGGTAACGCTTTAACATCAGATGGGTGGCGTCACCTCCATCATCCAAAATCTAAAACAGGAGATAAGTAAAAACATTCTATCAAAAACAGAGGACAATAATGACATTATGTTAAACATGACTAGGTAACACTGCAACAACAGGTGGATAGCATCCAGAAACTAAATCAGAGGCCAATAAAGATATTCTACACCAGGGGAAAGATGAATTCATGGTATACCGTAAATCTGGAAATTTTTACTGTAGATAAATTTTTAGCAAATTTGCGCGTGCATTGCATTCGTTTTTAAATCAACATGTGAAGAATTTTTTTTCTGAGGACTTGTCTTTTTTTTTAACTCAGTGAATAGGCATTGGTAAGCACCTTATTTTTAAAAGAAACCTGTTTACACTAGTCTATATATAACATTAATTACCCGTCTATATTATATGCAATATCGTCCGATAACATCGTTTTTAATTATTTTCATCAATTAATTTGCCAATAAAGAGAGAACTGTCATTTTATCTAACCGTGTATCAACACGGGCGAGTTGCGTTTATACAAAGTTCCAAATGTAAACGCGGCGTATATTTTATAGAATCGTTTTTATTTTTTCATTTGGATTATACTTTAGGTTGCATAAACAACCTCTAAAATGTTTGTTATAATAGATTTAAAAATTATTTTCATGCAAATCCTTTTGTTTTTATATTTTATAAATGTTGCGTTTTTAAACTGGGCATATTATGAAACATAACCTGTCTGAAAATCTTCAGTGATTTTTATTTTAAGCACCAGTGACAATCGGAAGCGTAAAAATTAATCACATTTTTGTCTACATTTTATTAATCATTTTTACCATGTCAGGTTGCCAGCCCTCGAGTTGATACATTTGTCTATATTTTATAAATCGTTTTTACCATGTTAGGTTGCTAGCCCTCAGAGTTGATACATTTGTCTATATTTTATAAATCGTTTTTACCATGTTAGGTTGCTAGCCCTCGGAGTTGATACATTTGTCTATATTTTGTAAATCGTTTTTACCATGTTAGGTTGCCAGCCCTCGGAGTTGATACATTTGTCTATATTTTATAAATCGTTTTTACCATGTTAGGTTGCTAGCCCTCGGAGTTGATACATTTGTCTATATTTTATAAATCGTTTTTACCATGTTAGGTTGCCAGCCCTCGGAGTTGATACATTTGTCTATATTTTATAAATCGTTTTTACCATGTTAGGTTGCCAGCCCTCGGAGTTGATACATTTGTCTATACACCACCAGAAGTCCTCCTCCGTCTCGCCTTTCCACGCATAGATCGGGAAGCCAGCTTCCGCTAACGCAGCCGCCACTTCATTCTGTAAAACAAAAGTAGAATCAATGGCAAAAATTAAAGACTCTGCATGCAAAATTACATTCTAAATAAGAAATATGTTAGATCCTTGTTATGTTTGCTTAAGGTTGTAACCTCTCATAACACAACTGTTACAGTGAATGAAAGACATCATGGACAACATAATTAAGCATGAAAATTATTTATCTTTCAATTTTGCATAAGATATACTTTCAATTAATTTGCATGGTATAAACACCTCAGATTTACTACAATTACCTAACTCTTCGATATAAAACCTATTCATGTTACTACATTTTTGATACATTTTTCCTCTGATGCCTTAAAGGGTCTAAAACATAAACCATTACGTGGGTTTCCTAATGCAGTCTGTGTATTTTTACAGAGTCATTAACAAGTCAGTCATTATCAGCTGCACAAAATAGCAATTTCCATGGAAACATTATGATGGCTTATGACAAAATTGACTCTTATCCACTGTACAACATCAGAAACTTTACGTTGTTATCTCCTCTGCATAATCGGACAAAACTGGTATCCCCTGAGAGAACCAGTCTAGATTAAAACACGTCCAACAACTGCTGAACAATACATTAAGTTCTCAATTTAATGAAATCATCCAGACTGGCAAAAAAAAATGTAGAATACATAATATGCATCAACAGTTGAAAGCCATTCATTTTAGATCTTGTTTTCAAGGTTTTCCCCTGCGTGTATATATATACTTCATGTAGTTGCAAAATACTCTTCTTATAAATTTATGATGAGTTCATATTTCCTAATAAGGGCACCAGTTTACTTTTTAGTTCCTTTACTATATAAATTTTTAAGTTAACTTTGAAAAACATAGGGAGGGGATAAAACTCTAACCCACAAAGTGGATGTTCTACTTTAAAAAATCTATATACCATATAAGTAGAATTTTTTGCGAGGATTTAATTTTGGCATTATTAGCTAGGGTTCTGAGATTGCTAAAATTGAATATCACTAAAAATTAATTGCATTTTATTTGTAATAACCTCTTTAATGTCCATTTTAAAATTGCTGAAATTGCATCTCGCTAAAAATAAAATACCAATTTTTAAGGACAAATTGCTAAATTTGTGTCTCGCTAAAATTTCCACTTATACGGTAGTCTATTATGGAATTGTTCAGTTTTAAAATAAATAGGTTTCCTCTGTTTTGTATCAATATGCTGGCTACCACCTTCTTAACATTTGACTTAAGACAGGTATCCATTTGTCTTAAAATTAAGATCAATCTTAAGATGATCATAAAATACAACTTTTAGTTTGGTAAAAACTTAAAATAATTTATAGGTCTTAAGACAGCTCGACTTGATCATAATAGACAATTTTGTAAATGGGGCCCTTGCTGTATATATTTAAGAAAATAACTTTTTTACATTGTATTCTCTGACATTGTTTTGTGATCTATTTCAGAATGATCTATCCTTTTCCCCTGAATTTCAATTGATCTCGTATGAATGAGTGGTTAAGTTATCACCTCTTGCAGTTGACAAGACTGAAGAAAATCAATCTCCAGAAAATTGCCTGATTCTGGTGGAGATTGATTAAACAGATGACAACCTGCTCTCTTGTGGAATGGATAGTTTAAATTTACTATCATGCTGAAGTTCAAACAAGACTAAAACTTTTCTAACCCTGATATTTATTTCTTTAGAATGGCATTTGATTTATTTTTTTATTATACACAGTAAATGTTTTGATAAACAAGAGGCCCATGGGCTACATCGCTCACCTGAGAAGCTTTGACCATTACGTTCTTTACCAGATTTCCCCCTTGTAATACATAATGTGACCCCACCCTACCTAACTGATCATAATTTAGACAATTTGAAATCTACGCTACCATAGGATGCTTTGATTCAACATTGTAAAACTTTGATTCCCCACTGTGGCCCCGCCCAACCCCTGGGGGTCATGATTAGAACAATTTGGAATCTACACTACCCTGGGATGCTTCCACTTAAGTTTCAACTTTTCTGGCACAGTGGTTCTTGAGAAGAAAATTTTCAAAGATTTTTCCTAATATCTATGTAAAACTTTGATTCCCCATTGTGGCCCTGCCCAACCCCCTGGGGTCATGATTTGAATAATTTAGAATTGACACTACTCAAGGATGCTTCCACATAAGTTTCAGCTTTTCTGGCCCCGTGGTTCTTGAGTAGAAGATTTTCAAAGATTTTTCCTATATATTACTATGTAAAACTTTGATTCCCCACTGTGGCCAAGCCCTACCCCCGGGGGTCATGATTTTAACAATTTAGAATTTTTACTATCCCAGCATGCTTTCACATCAGTTTCAGTTTTTCTGGTCCCGTGGTTCTTGAGTAGAAGATTTTCAAAGATTTTTCCTATATATTTCTATGTAAAACTTTGATTCCCCATTGTGGCCCCGCCCTATCCCCGGGGGTCATGATTTGAACAATTTAGAATCTACACTACCTCAGGATGCTTTCACTTAAGTTTCAGCTTTTCTGGCCGAATGGTTCTTGAGCAGAAGATTTTCAAAGATTTGTTCTATATATTTCTAAGATTTGTTCCATATATTTCTATATTCCCATTGTGGCCCCATCCTACCCCCGGGGGTCATGATTTTAACAATTTAGAATTTGCACTACCCCAGGATGCTTCCATGTAAGTTTCAGCTTTTCTGGCCCAGTGGTTCTTGAGTAGAAGATTTTCAAAGATATTTCCCATATATTTCTATGTAAAATTTGATTCCCCATTGTGGCCCCGCCCTATCCCTGGGGGTCATGATTTGAACAATTTAGAATCTACACTACCCCAGGATGCTTCCACATCAGTTTCAGCTTTTCTGGCCCAGTGGTTCTTGAGAAGAAGATTTTTTAATGACCCCACCCTATTTTTGTCTTTTCTTGATTATCTCCCCTTGTGAGGAGACTTGGTCCTTCATTTTTATAATTTAAATTCCCCTTCACCCAAGGATGCTGTGTACCAAGTTCGGTCAAAAATGGCCCAGTGGTTCTTGAGAAGAAGTCGAAAATGTGAAAAGTTTACAGACGGGCAGACAGACGGACGGACAGACAGACAGCTACACAGACGGACGATGGACAAAATGTGATCAGAAAAGCTCACTTGAGCCTTCGGCTCAGGTGAGCTAAAAAAGGCCCATGGAGAGGACATCGAGGGGGGGTAGGAGGGCTTTTTATTGGTTTAAATCCAAAAGTAGTCCATGACCAGGATTTGCTATTTTTTAAATTTGTGGAAGATAAAGAATTTTCCTATATATTTCTATGTAAAATCACAACATTGCCACCCCACCCCACCCAATACACATTATTTTACAAATGTTATATCAATATGATGAATAATGGCTTTGTATATGAAAAGCTATATATCTGTAAAACCTTGACCTAGTCTGACATTAACTGCTTCCATATAAATATGATGTTTAAAGAAGATTTTTAAAGAATTTTCATATATTTCTATCTATGACGCATTTGATTTCTATTGAGCTTTGAATTGTTTTACGAAGAAAATTATCATTTTAATCTAAAAACTTTTATTTCAAAGTTTATATCAATTTAACATTCTAGCTGCAACCTTTAAAATCTGATTTCTCCAAAAACATTAAGCTCAAATAACAAAATCAAACAGAACTATTATGACATTTTGGAATAAAATTAGTATGTCTTGGACCATTCAGTTTGACAAAACAAACTGTGACAGTCATGCATTGTTCATGAACTTTAAGGTCAACCCTTATACATGCCTGCTACTGTGAGGCAATATACAGAAGATAATCAATGTTTTGTAGTCAGATACCAAATTTATTTCATCAGAGGAACAGGATGTTTCTTTTTATATTTTCTTAGTAGAATACAAAGTGATAATTTACTTGTGTAGAAGAGATGTTGCTCTGTGATGACTTACTAGTGTAAACTTCGTATTGCCCTGTGATTACTTATTTGTGTAGAATAGATATTGCCTTTTAATGAATTATCTGTTTTCAGTAGATATTGCCCTGTGATGACTTAACTTGGGTAGATTATTTCCTATGATGACTTACTTGTGTAGGAAAGATATTGCCCTATGATGCCATACCTTTGATAGTAGATATTGCCCTTTGATGACTTTCTATGTAGATATTGCCCTGTGATGACTTTCTGAGTAGAGTAGATATTACCATGTGATGAATTACTTTTGTAGACGTGATATTGCCTTGTGATGACTTACCTGTGTAGATATTGCCCTATAATGACTTATCTATGTAGAGTAGATATTGCCCTGTTATAAATTACCTGTGTAGAGTAGATATTACCCTGTTATAAATTACCTGTGTGGAGTAGATATTGCCCTGTTATGAATTACCTGTGTAGAGTAGATATTGCCCTGTGGTGAATTACCTGTGTAGAGTAAATATTGCCCTGTTATGAATTACCTGTGTAGAGTAGATATTGCACTGTTATGAATTATTTGTGTAGAGTAGATATTGCCCTGTTGTTAACTACCTGTGTAGAGTAGATATTGCACTAATTATTTGTGTAGAGTAGATATTGCCCTGTTATAAATTACCTGTATCAAGTAGGTATTACCCTGTTATGAATGACCTGTGTATAGTAGATATTGCCCTGTTAAAAATTACTAGTGTGGAGTAGATATTGCCCTGTTATAAATTACCTGTGTAGAGTAGATACTGCCCTGTTGTTAATTACCTGTGTAGAGTAGATATTGCCCTGTTATTAATTACCTGTGTAGAGTAGATATTGCCCTGTTGTTAATTACCTGTGTAGAGTAGATATTGCACTAATTATTTGTGTAGAGTAGATATTGCCCTGTTATAAATTACCTGTATCAAGTAGGTATTACCCTGTTATGAATGACCTGTGTATAGTAGATATTACCCTGTTAAAAATTACTAGTGTGGAGTAGATATTGCCCTGTTGATAATTACCTGTGTAGAGTAGATATTGCCCTGTTGTTAATTACCTGTGTAGAGTAGACATTGCCCCGTTATTAATTACCTGTGTAGAGTAGATATTGCCCTGTTGTTAATTACCTGTGTAGAGTAGATATTGCCCTGTTATTAATTACCTGTGTAGAGTAGATATTGCAGGCTGCCCACCTTACTGAGGCCCCAAGAGCTGCTAAAGTTTCCACAAGCACCTGTAAAAGAGATTTGAAACTCATTATTACACTCTGTGCAATACAATTTAAATGGGTTTTACTGATCACATTATAGGTATTTACAAAACTTCACAAAAAGAACTTCAGATGTGACCAAAGGATGGTGGCTTAAGTGCACTATATGCAATTTTTGCAGTTTATTTAGTAGTCAACTTAAACATTGTTTACAGGAAAAGAGATGTTTGTAAAACACTTATGCCCCCCTCCCCCACAAATTGGAATTTTTCTATCTTCAAAAGGGCATAACTCTGTCGATTATGGTGCTATCATACCCAAAATAGAAGTCCAAGGGTCATAACTCTGTCAAAAATGGTGCGACCAAACCCAAAACAGAACTTGACCTAGATATTCATTTGATATACCTGTACACTAAATTTCATTTCAGTATGTGCAACAGTTGTGAAGAAAATGAACGGAAACTAAATAGACCGACAGACAGACAGCAGCAAAGCAATATGCCCTCCCTTCTTCGAAGGGGGGAAGAAAAATTGGATCTTAAACTTCAATTTGTATAATTGAAAATGATAAAATGAACCCTGCAGATATGAACAGTGCAGCCCAAAACAAATCTGAAGAAATTCCCAGGAAGCAGAACATAAGAAACTATTTACTAACCATTTTGCCCCGTGGTCCCACAAAGCTTCCCAAAAAACTTCTCATCCAAACAACCATGGATTAAATACGAAAATTCCATCCTAAATCAATCTATAGGAAGACAAACCCAGACAGACCAGGAAGTAAGACAAGCTTTGAACTAGACAGACCGGGCAGAGGTCGGAAACAAACTCTTACCAGACAGACCAGCTAGAATGTCTGTCAGACTACTGTAAACTAACTTTTATTCAAGACGGCTTTATTTTGCGATTTATCAGGAGTAAACTACTTAGCAATGATTATTTTTTTTTGTGATCAAGCCTCTTTAGATCTGTTGTTCATACAGACACAGAGACTTTAGGATTGGTTTGTTGTGAGAAATATTTGTGATGACGAGGCTCTGGCAAACCTCGTTTAATTTTTCCACACACAAATAAAAGTTGGTTTGCAGTATCCTTGGATCAAAAATTATATCAGATTGACATTGTGCAAGAATTTCATACAAAAGTAATTTTAGAAAGCTCTAAATTAGACAAATTTGGTTCCTGGCCTGGGGGTCATAAAACTTAGACTCAATTTTGATCTCAGTCTCACTTTTACAAAAGGAATATCTGGTTGAATAGTGAGACTGAGATTAAAAGTGAGCTTGCCTAAGTTTTATGGCCCCGAAGCCAGGCCAAACTATCTATCAGACTATCACATGGAACAATATTTGTTATATATTCAGTTTGTTTGGGATCTTATCTAATACAGAATCACCTTGGGTCTGAAATGGAAATCTGTATTGGACTAGGCCAATTGTTTATGCCAGATTTACACAGTACATTATCTCACTCTCAATGATAAATACACTTATCACAAAATTTCAGGATGCCAATCAATAATTTATAAATTTGTCTGAAGCTGGATAAATAGCCAAATCAGCATTCCAAGTCACTTTAAAGCTATTGCATAGGAAGTATTTATCTTAATTCAGCTACCAAAAGCATGTCCTTTGAACCCTTAATATCAGATTAAAGGAAAAGTTATAGCTAACATTACTTTAATCCGTTAGGAACTCGCTACAATTTTTTTTAAGATTCAACATGATATGAGACAATCATTATTTTTATCATTAAACCACTTTGGGGAGGGGGGAATAAATAAAGAAACCCTTATAAAGTATTTTCCTCAACTATAATTCTCTATTTGATCATGAAATAATCGTCTAATCTCATCAATCTGATCATCAAAGAAAACATGTGAACATGTACTTCCTAAGATCTAGTCCATAAAAGTTGCTAATCCCTTAATCATGTTGCTGAGAGATCAATCACCAATGGATTCAGTTTTTAAAAAAAATTCCAACATCAGGTTCTCTTCGTTCAATATACCTGTGTGTCTCATTCTCTGGTTTTAAGGTACATTTGTATGTACATCAAAAGGTAGAATTATTAGCAAGCCCTTTTGAAAAACATTAATAATTTATATATTTTGTTATCACTTCATATGCTAGCAATAATATCATGCATCTTCATATCAAGAACCTTAATCACAAATTTTTTGAGGTTTGCGGAAAAAATAATGGTTTGTGGGGATTTGATTTGGTTGGAAAATGTTTAGTAGTAATGCTAAGCCTTATGAAATTTTGAATTTCACGGTGGTCATAAATTCTTTGGTCTCTCCATACCTCGAAAACAATGAAAATTAACCCCCCAACAAAAATTAATGATTTCACAGTATTATACACACCAGCTGCTAAAATTCTAAATAAGAAAGTAATACTAACGGCAGTCTGTGCTGTGATGTGGGTACAGCCTATAATTTTGGCCCCACTAAGTGGCTTGTCGTTCTCTGCTCTTTTTCTGAGGGCTATCAGACCAGGCATCTCTGTAACACAACAGGAATGTCAATTACTGAACATTATTTAACACAATTCTACAAAACTCATTTTCTTTGTAAGAATTGACAAGACGTTACTCTGTGCCATTTTGAGCAGATTACTGCCCATTTTCACTAGTAGTAAACCAAACCATAAAACAGGCAAATGATTAATGAATTTATAATTCTAAAAATTTTAATACTGAATGAAAATATTTGTTTTCAAGTAAACAAGAGTTGTTTGTGAAACACTTAAGCAACCCCCCTTGGACATATGTAACTACAATTGCAAGTAATTGGAATTTTTTTAAGTCCAAGGGGCATAACTCTCTCAATAACTGCTCAATCGTACCCAAAATAGAAGCCGACCTAGATATTCTTATGATAAATCTGTCTACCAAATTTCATTTCAGTAAGTGCAACCCCCTGCAAAGAAATTGAACGGAAACCGTTGGTACATTGACAGACACACAGACTGACTGACAAACAGCAGCAATATGCCCTTTCTTCTTTGAAGGGGGAGGGGGGATAAAAAAAATTCTCTGATTTATTCCTTATCATCATAGATCTATATTCCCCAAAGGCCCTAGAACATATTTTTTAATTCTAAGAAATATGGGCAATACTTGAGAAATTCAAATCACCAAAAAACTTATTTTCCACTACAGAAGGATTCCTGTTACATATTTTCAGTAACAAGAGAATGAATTCACAAAGTTAAGTGATATGGCTTTTCGATGTTGACACTTGAAAACCAAATTGTTTTAAAATGTAGTTTGGAGGGGCCACTTAACATACCACGGAATAAAAGTCAATATTTCCTCTATGTTGTGTTGGTTCAGTAAAGACAATCATTTGAATCCATTTAATTATAACTGAAATTGTTTGCCAAAAGCTAAATACTCAAAAGTTGGCAAATATAACTTCCAATATTGTTCAAATATTAGGTTAAAGACCAGAATTCATTAACATATTCTTTTAATGTTGATAAACATTCCCCTTCCTCCATGGTACGTATAGGTAATGAATAGTTACACTGCAAACATCTTTTGAAAAAAATACTCATATCCTGCTCAACCTAACTAATTGTCTCACACAAGTAATAATTTTTTTCTTCAATGACAAAAAAATCTAATTTCTCAGACCCACAGAATGAATTTCAATCCCGCAATGTAATACAGTGATCTAAAAAAAAATCAATGAAAGGGGAACGAAAAGAATGGACACTTTCCTGCTGCTTGGGAAATCTCCATGAAAAACAAACACTATGTGCTTGGACTGAAAACGTCAGTCTCCACTGAAAGGTCTACAGAGTCTATGGAATTTTCATGCATTGATTCGAAAACTTTGCTACAATACCTTGCTCAGCAATTTCAATCTCTCTTCTTCCAAATGCGGCATTGTCGATATTCTTTACACAGAAATCCGAGCTGCCTTTGGTGTTTTTCTACAAAAGTCAACATAACATTGTTCATAAATATCAGTTATCGAAATTGAAAATAACTTTTTCTTTTCTTGTACTTTGGCTCTTGATTCTAAACAGAAACATAGGTAATCAGAGATTACAGAGCTCACCTCAACGAATGTTGTCTTTAAGTAAGGCAAAGTCAAACAATTAACCAACAAGAAGTGTACATTCCAAAAATGAAAATATTTAAGCAATTTTAATCTGATTTTGAAATAGACCTACATAAAAAATTTAAACTACTTCTTCTTCATGAAAATGTAATTAAAATCCAGCAACTGAAGCAAATTTGAGAGTTTTCATCTCTTGATGCAACATTTGTGCAAGTTTGGTTTATACAATGTTATATAAGCCTTATAGTTTTTTGGTAATAGACCTGCACCCATAACTTTTACCTTGTCTATTATCTGAAAATGTATGTCGAATTCAGCATCCGAAGCAAGTCCATTAGTGTGCATCCTAAGATGTATCATCCATGCATGTTTGCTCATTAAAGGGCTCATAGTTAATTGGAAATGAAATATCCATCAAAAACTAACATTTTCACTCATCCCAAAAGTAGGTCAGATTCAGCATCCGAAGCATATATATGCATCCTTATATGTATCATCCATGCAAGTTTGGTCATTAAAGAACTCATAGTTACTTGGAAATGAATCATGCACCAAAAACTTTAACCTATTAACTCAACTAGAAAATGTAGGTCAGATACAGCATCCGAAGCAAGCCTGGTAGCATACATCCTTATATGTATCATCCATGCTAGTTTGGTCAACATAGAGCTTATAGTTACTTGGAAATGAAACCTGCACCAAATACTTTAACTTGTTCACTCAACCGGAAAATGTAGGTCAGATTCAGCATCCGAAGCAAGCCCGGAAGTATGCATCCTTAGATATATCATCCATGCAAGTTTGGTATATAGGGCTTATAAACTTGGAAATGAAACCTGCACTAAAAACTTTAACCTGTTCACTCAACCATAAAATGTAGGTCAGATTCAGCATCCGAAGCAAGCCCGGTAGTATGCATCCGTAGATGTATCATCCATGCTAGTTTGGTCAACATAGGGCTTATAGTTACTTGGAAATGAAACCTGCACCAAAAACTTTAACCTGTTCACTTTAGGTCAGATTCAGCATCCGAAGCAATGGTAGTATGCATCCTTAGACATATCATCCATGCAAGTTTGGTCAACATAGTTATAGTTACTTGGAAATGAAACCTACACCAAAAACTCCACCAAAAATGTTAACCTGCTCCAAAAACATTAACCTGGTCATTCCTTTGCTGAAATTGCAGCATCTGAAACTTTGACTGGTACAATGAAACACACTAAAACCATCTTCCATGCATGTCTAATCAATATAGGACATAGAAGTACTTAAAAAGAAAACTGCTCCAAAAAACTTAACCTTAACCTACGGTATAATTTTATTTCTAACGCCGACACCGACACCGACACCGACGCCGACACCGACGCCGCGCCGACATAATTTTTAGGTGAGCAAATCTCTAAAGGTCTTGTTGCTGAATGATGAGAAATCTAAAGATTTATATTCATATATACGTGAAGGTGATCATTTCCTTTTCCTAAATACACCGAAGATTCTCAATTCGTGATAGAAAAATCTCAAACGGTCTAGTAAATTTGAATGAAACAATGAATAAGAAAGCCTGAAACACAAGCTGATACGGGGGTCTTTTGGCTTAAAAATGAGATTCTTGTTATGTACATAGTCAAACCCAGATATCTATTGACTCCAGATATCAAGGTTAGAATACTTTAGGTGGGACTTCAAAATTACTTTAACATAACCATAGTTTTTGAGATATATATGCATTAGAGGTACCAAATGAAAGTTAAACTGCCTATTGGTGTGTACCGGTATACTGTATCCTTCACAAAAACTTTCTTCCTTCTCTTTGGAGGGGGGGGGGGATATATTATGTTGACTTGTACAGTGTGGTAGATTTTGGTATAATGTTGGCTAACTTACCTGATTCTTATCTCTGGGGTTAATTTCATCCTCGTCAGAAGAACTCCCCGTGTACGAAGCTAAAAAGACAGGAAAAAAAATATCCAATGAATTAAGTTATATTCATATTAAACTTAAACATCACAATATTTACCTGTTGGTGTTAACAAATATATACTGTATACAGGGTTATTTTTGCCCCGCTTTGTTTTCACCCTTTCACACCAATTTGCCCCGTTTTAAATTCGCCCAGTTACAGTTTTGTTTAAAAAGTTGTACTGTATACTTTTAATTTGTCCCTCAATAAATTTGCAAAAACAAAGCTAGGACAAAAGGGGCGGAAATAAAACAGGGGTCGAAAATTTCCCTGTATACAGTAATTTTCCTCATTTCTCATTGGTCTAAATTAGTTAAATATCAAAAATGCCTTAAGAAAATCTTTACCGACAGAAAATAAATTATCAAACTGGAAAAATGCTTTTAGAGGTGGTAAAAGATTTAAAACCTCTAAAATTGATACAACTGCATGCTTACTCGATAATGCATTATTTTCAATATATTCAAATGTATACATTCAAGAGAAACAACTCTAATAGAAAAAACCCTTCTTTAGCTGCCAGTTACAATAAATACACATAGATCATTTATTAAATGCTTCTGAGCTATACTATGTAAACCTTTCGTAAGGACTATCTTCAAATACTAGTAATCATGCAATAAGAATTTTATTGTTGTCCAGTGTAATTCACTGCTGACCATAATTAAAAACCCGATAAACAGTAGATCAACTTGACCCAATTTCTCCTAAATCCAAAGATTACCATTGCTTCCTCCCGCTTTGTGAAGACTAAACGATTTCAGAGGATGTTCCGTATCAAACTCCACGAATCGCACGCACCGAGTTTTCTCAACGGGAATGTCCAAATAATCCATGACATCCATACATACACAAAAAAAATCCCTTCTGGTTTTTTCACGATCAAAACAAGCAGAACATTTATCACCTTGTTTATATCTAAACACAAGATCTGGACAATACAGATGACAGGTAAATAACGAGAAACATGGTAATGTCACATTGCTGAGCAGGTGTGAATCACAGAATTCATGGAATTGGTGACTGAGAATCAATGACAACTGATTACAAACAGATCCTAATTACTGCTGGATAGATAATTCCTCATCTGGCATTTTACATCAAATTCTACCCTTAGAGATAACAGGTAGAAATAGATTGGTCACCAAGTCTTCGGACACAGGAATATGATCGCTGATAATGAATCAAAGACAAACGAGATAATTCCACATAGGTAAGGCTCTGTTCAGGAAGCCGGGTATATAAATACCTGTCAGAGCGGATTATGTAGGTCACTGTTGGTCTAAACCAGACACTGGTCTGTTAGCTGTGTATTTATGAAGAAGCCACTATAAGTTTTGTCATAAAAATGTCAAGAAATTCAAGTTCTATGTCAGTAGGTCTCTGTAAGAGTTGTCCCCCCTACAAATAGAACTCTTTTATCTCTGTTTGATTTGTTGGCACTTCCTTCAAATCAATTTTAGGACTTTATCATCTTTAGTGCAATACTGTATTTAAAAAACTGATTTGTGACCAATTCAACTTGCATTTTAGAGCTGCAGACAAAAAATAATTATTTATGGCAGATTCATTCCTAAAATCCTTTTACAAAAACTCCAAATTTTGAAAACAAAGATCTGTATTAAACATCCATAAAAGTTATACTGTATTTAGGTTAATCTCAGCGAGATGGGTCGAGACTAAAATTTTGGTCTGACGACTACTACCCATCTGGGTAGTAGACGTCAGACCAAAATTTTAGTCTTGACCCATCTCGCTGAGATTATATTTAGGTGGTCACATGAATTGTTTTTAAGCATTAAATTGTAAATTATATTAAAAATTCGTCATAAGATACCTATGCTGCTAAATTTAATGTGTATTAGAAGTGCATTATGTCTGCACAGCCACCCATGTTATTATATGCTGAACACCCAAAATACACGTTTCATTGGTTATGTAGATTGATTTATGGTTGATTGATCAAATTTTAATTTTTCCTTTTAATACTTGTAATCATTCATTTTTAAATCATTAAATCCATCACACTTGTGCAACTAAACTGAAGGAGAAGACGCTATTTTTCAATTATGCATTTTTTTTTTCCAATTCTGATTTTCACTTTTGACATTGCAATTAAATGGCATTCAATGTTTGCGTTACCAAAATAAATTTCAAACCTTAAATTTTTGTCCTTCCCACCCATGTAATGTGTTTTGAATGTCTGAGCTTTCTATACTACTCTTTAATAAGCAAATAATAAAAAATATAAATATTTTCTGGTGTCATATTCTATAATATGACTCTGTGATTAATAAATACTGAAGTTATAAATAAATCATAAACCAAATGTGGAGATTTTGCACCATGTATCAAATCTAGAAAAAATACCATGGTGAATTGATACCACAGTGAACTGTTTCAGTAACATATAGACTGGGATGATACTTTATACTTTTGCTTATCTGTTTTATACCTGGCTATCAAGCATATGATTTGGATTTTATTGTTACTATTGATTCACAGATACAGTCACAAACAACCTGTATAAAGTATAAAAATCTATAAAGGGCAAACAAACATGATCCCAATTATAATAAATATCCTGCATTCTAAAGTTACCCCAATACATAAGTAAGGATATAGAGTACATACTTCACAAATTTAATCTTTTTTGTCTTTCATCTTGTCATTGACAATTTGACTTTGTACAGTATATCATAATGTATACAGTAAAACTTCGTTATAACAAAGTCACTGGAACCTATAAAATTACTTCGCCATATCCTTAATTCATTATACATATCCGTACATTATAAGGAATTCTTTAAATTTATATAGCTGGGGATCCATGTTAACATTGCTATATCCATGAAATCGCAATATCTGTGTTCATACCAAACAGGTTTTACTGTACAGTAATATAGTAAAAGATTTCCCTTAATCAGTGCACCCATACAGAATTCATCTTCTTTAATTCTAACCATCTTAATAAACTGTAATTATTTATTATAATAAAAAATAGACTTTTTTGAGGATGCATTGTTTTCTTCAATGCCCATTGAATCCGTAACTGAATCATGTAGAAATGTGTAATCTACCTTTAACCTAGGTCAGAGATAAATCAAACTGGAGAGGGAGGGGTATTCCTATAGAAGAACAAAAATTGTCTATGACGTTTGTCGTTGCTAAAACTTTTGCTATAATTTTGTATCACAATTTCTAAAACAAACTTTCCATAGACTGATCGATCCATAAACATCATTGGCAAACTTCGCAAGCAACAAACTGATTTCATGGCAAAAAACATGACTTAACTTTTTTTCCTCAAAAAAAATAAATGAAGTAAATTACTCATTTATTGCTTATTCTTTAATTTCCTTGCCTGGCTTTACGATAGTGATAGATGGCAACCAATTAGCTTAGTACTTCACTAATAACATGCATCTGTGGTTGTTAATACTTTGAAATAAATGCTTGTAAAGTAAAGAAGATGGTGGAAGGCATTATGAATAGAATGGCTTTAATTCGAGAACTGTTGATTCAGCAGTTAAGGAGGCTTGCAAATAAGACAGTGGTACACACCAACATTATAGAATGAATGGCAGTTTCCATTTTTTGTTCAGTAAAAGCCCAAATATCTGTCCAATCAAAATGTAAAATGGTCCACAATGGTGTACAAATTTATAAAAGATACTGCGAGCATCATAAAATTACATGTATTTGGGGACATAAAAGATAGGTACCGATATTGAACAAAACATGATAGAATCTGGCTAGAACAATAAATAGAAAGTGCTCACTGGCACTCTGTATGAAAGATTCTGTGTAATTAAATTTTATGCAGAATTACAGGTTGATTTGTGGATAAGAGATGGGCACCCTAAGTATAACAGATAGACCTACAGATGGACAAACACTTCCATCATAGTATAGGTCCTTTCCATGCAGTGGGTATCATACTCATAAGCTCTTTTTCCCCTATCTGGTAATCACAAATCAAACATACATGTACGTGTCTAAAATACCCTGTGACAGCGGCCTTATCATAAAACCTACACAGGAGTATAAAAATAAATTATCTATTCTGGGCCCCCAACACCACGACTATCTCTTCAGACTGTAAAAAAGGCTGTAAATTTTTGTCAAGGATTCGCAATGTCAGGTTTCTACCTTTGATTTAAGGTAAGCACTGAATTATGACTATTGGCTCATCTCATGCAGACTTTAGGCTGTATTCAATTCTAAAGTTTAAATGCCTGCCTTCAAAGCAATTTAAAAAAATAGTGGCTTTATCTGCTCACATAAAGTTCCTAACTTTAATTCATACATTTTGAAATAAATATTCGCCCCTGATTCCATAGAACTTTTTTACTGTATCTTTCAAACAAGTGACTGAAAAAAATCATTTATAAATCAGCTGATAAAGCAAACATGATGACGTTTACAATATTTACATACCCCCAGTTTGATGGTTTACATAATACACGCATTTCAAAACAGAGGAAAACTATTAGATAGAAAAGATTTTCAATTCTAGTTTGTAATATTAATGTTTTCACTTATTTTTAGCAATAGCCATAACATTTCTCTGCTTCAATTGCCAGCTGGTGGCTCTGGAGATCCTTCATTACCAATACTTACTATCCTCATATAGCTTTGATTTTTTACTTAACATACCCCCCCCCCCATTCTCTTTCCACAAATCTCCTACATTCAATTTGAATTTTGCCGACTTCCACTAAATATTATAAAAGTTCTCTCTCTGGTTAATTTTTAAGAAATACATATTAAGAAGAATACTACTGAAATGCATTCTCCAATTTTATGCATTCTCCAATTTTGGATGCTATCAGTAAAATTTGACACATCCATTGCCAGGACTGGTTTCAGACAAGTTTTACAGAGCATATGATATTGGGAGATCTAGTTTTGAGTCAAAATCTTCAAAGATTCAATTGAAATTCAATCTCTTCCTTGTTCCCACAGAGAAAGGATATGTGAAGTCTTCTGCAATCAATTTTATTTTGTGATTCTAATACAGTATGGAGATCGCTGATTTTAATTTCCATTGCTTTTTGAAACCTTAGAAATGATGCTGCCTACATGGAGATTTTTTTGATGAAGTTGTCAAGATACAGTTTAATGGCGAATTTCATTTCCCTCTTATCAGGATTGGTTCAGAGTGATGACACATCTTCTTCCTTTGATTCGTTAGAACAAAGATCTCCACATACTGGGTTCTGCATGTTACTGCATGAGGAATTGTGTAGCTATATATCAGATATTTGTATTAATTTTCACCATTATTTAGAATTATCATAGTCAGATCATGAATACAGATTCTTCTGTGTATATAATAATAATTATAATCTTCTTGTGATGTACATTACTACGTAGTCATGCAGTTTTGTATCATTTCTGCTAAGTCTCTTTGTGGGTGTGGTAGGATTTGAGATGGGGGGGGGGGGGGGAGGGGTGAGGGTCTAGGAACACATCACTTAATATGCAAACTCTAAAACAATTAGTTTTTAACATATTTCAAATAAAATCTGCATATAATGATTTGGCATCAGGTTTCAAACATTAGATTGGATAAGTCATAAAAATGCAATTTTCAAAAGTAATACTTCTATAAACAATTTTATGCTATGGATTCATTCATACATGCAGGACAGGTCTGTCTCTTAAACAATAGCAAAAGATGTTAAATCAACATAAAGGAAAAAACCCTTATTTCTTTTATCTTAAAATTACATCATTTGATTGACAAATCTACTGATCGAGTTTTTTAATACTTCTAGACTGTAATCTTGAGCAAATCTGCCTGGAAGGACCAGCGTATAAAATCAAGTCCTTAGATTAATTTGAATTTGAACATTGGCAGCCATGTGAAATATTATCATCCAAGATAATCTATGCAATATCCGTCAATATAAAAGAAGGAAATTACCCACAAACAAGAAAAACGATGCCTATGGGATGCTATACATTTAGTACATAGTACTTTATTATAATACCTTCAAGGTAGACTTCTGATTAAAGATAAAATATACTGACTACAACAGTACCCTATGTACATTTACCTGACAGTAATAGAAGTGAGAGCAGTCCTACTGACGTGACCCTGACTATATGACTTACATACAGAGTCCGCCGTCTCGCTGGTGGAGCTGGCGTTGCTGGACCTCCGCTCCTGGAGTTGTAGGCTGATCCGTCGGTCCAGCTGGATGCTGTGGCGTTTCCTCGCGGACCTCGCTCGGAACGCGTCCTCCACCCCCATCGATTTCAGTTTCTCAGGAAGATTGTCATTTAGGCTGACCTCAGAGAGATTCTTCCCAATTATTTTCTTAGACATTGTACCGAATTACCTTCCACTTCTTAGGAAAATTTATAATTACGAATGCCTCTATTGTTTAGTATACTTGCCCACTAATGATAAATGTAACTATCAGTATTTGTAGATTCTGCACTTATGTAAACAGTGTTCAACACACTAGCTCACAAAGGTAATTTTATCTTTAATCTTCCTCATTTGATATCTGACATCCAAGTCCCAACCTGAAGGACGGAGGTCCGATACCCTCTCAGGCTCTCAACTATCCTGTCCCGATTACAAGGTGTAACCCCCATATATCATTTTGCCCTTTGACCTTTGAATATTGACATAACTTGAGGACAAAGCCTGTATATCAATCACAAAACATATTGAAATTAGTCTACGCCTGCACTTCCTTTGGAGAAAGCTAACAGAACATTTCAAAGGAAGAAATTTAATAAATCCCTTCCTTATGTAGGCTCAGAAATGCCAAGCAGAATGAAGCACAATTAATGACATTTAAAGGCAGCAAAGCTGACTCATAAGACACTGCTCTCTCCACTGTGAGAACTAGGGTAGTTAGTAGTTAGTATAAAAAAATACTCCTCTCCAAACTGTTGAAGGTCTGTTACATGATAAAGGAGGTGCACATAACAAATAATTCACAACACACATCTATATCTAATTCAGCAATCCCTGGAATTCTCGGTGTTTACATCACATTACACAAAAACTCGTGTAAACAAGAAACATTTCACTTTAGAGTGTCATAAGTACATTCACAGTGTCCCGATATTTATAGATCCATCTATACAAGTCTACCACAAAAATGCAGGGAAACTCTGCCTCCCTGACAGCATCTCCTGGCTTGCCTGCTGTGTTAAGAAAACCCCCAAGGACATTAGGGGTTACACTTTATTATTTATTTCCAATACACACAATCATTGGCAATTACTTTAAATAACTCCGGCAAAAATATAATGGAATAATCCAGTCACGGTAAATAATTACCAGGTCTATCAGGAATTAATCGGGAGGATCTGAAGTCAGGTGAGTGATGTGTAGCCGTCTTGACAATAGAAAGAATGATAGCGGAGGGGATTATATACAGAACACAGGAAGAAGAGCTCCACGGAGGAGGGAGGAAAAGGCCTCATCAATAGTAAGAGGTAAAGGACCGCAGTACTATGTAGATTATGATTAGTAAGGGGATTAATAGATCAGAACAGTACAACATGGATTAACTTGTTGCAGTCAGCTTTGATGTTATGCAGGGAATTTTTTTTTAAATCTTGTGTGCTTATACTCACTGACAGTTTAAACTATCTGATGATCTAAAGTAACACTGACTGAAATCCAACAAATTTGTTATCGTACAGGGAAATGTATTCTGGAGATTTTTTAAACAATCAATCTAAAACTGACTTCCTGGTGAATTTATCATATTATATATTTATATAAATTTATATTTTCAGCTGGGAGAGTTGGCATCATTGCTATGTTACACAATCAACATCACATCCTGTTAATCATAGAACTATGCAGATTTGACACAACTATCTCTGGAATACAGAGGCCATGCATAGACATTAACATTTAAGGTAAGAATTCTTTTATATATGCATTTTTACTGTTTACAAAAATGAAAAAAAAAATTGTCGTGAATTTAATTTACAAAGTTGTGTGTAAAATAAATTTTTTTAAAAGTAAAAATTATAAGAAATTAAATTAAGAAAAATTTCATTGAAGCTTTTAAGATGATTTAAAATTTTCATCATATATAAATTGTGAGTGTAAATCAATGTTTTTCTGAAAATTTCGTATTCTGTCCAATAAATGATCAGCAGCTGCATGAAATACAAACTGTTTTTAATGAACATCGTTTACATCTCTTCTGCTTTTCACTTCTCTCCAAATGAACATCACATCATTTTCATGTTAGCATTTGATTTCTTTTCATCCTGCCGTTTTAATGTAGTAAATTAGAGGCCGCTTCAGAAGTAAGGAATGATTCTTAGTATTGACGTATAATTCAGTAAATAACTCCGCGCTGTTGGTGATGATGTATAAATCAGGTATATTTACTATAGATTTATTGAAGACGGGAGGACCCAGCCTCTCGGATAATGAACAGCGCTGAATCTCCTTGCGCTACATAATGAGCGGTCATTTGGAAGGCCGGGATGTGTGAAAGACTCTTAGAGCAATGCCAGGCTTAATTCAGATATTTAGTCAATATTTAGGCTCATTCAATTATCTCAGACAGATTTGGCTCCAGTACATGTATCGACTAAAACTTACACATTTCAAAACAAAGATCAAATGCTGTCTTAACTCAAGTAAATGTTACAAGAGTACTTAACACTTTCCGAGTGGAACATTAAGTATAGAATAAAATCCTATATAAAATTGTTACTGTCAAGCTTATTTCAGCCTTAACTGTCAGTTTTTGATCAAATTTGATATCAGATATATGAATCAAAATTGTAAGATATAAATCATGAAATGCAGACAACTGCAATCCGCTCTCCCCATTCTACACACCAACACTTTTATTTTTTCATCTTTATAATAAACACTTATCAAGTTTTAACATTGTTTTCTCAAATTGAACTAGAATATGCTTATTCAGCTTTTAAAAGCATGCTTATAATTATTATTTGGTGTCCCCTATAATGGCAAGGAAATGAAATTCTTCAGTCTTCATGCATTAGTTGGGTCTCTTTCCCATTCAGGAAATATTTGGAGAATTATTGAATTGTAAATGCTAGCTTTATGTCCATAGTCCTTCAATTTTTGTTTCTTAATTCTTCTTCTCTTTCATTATAAAATCTCTTATAATGGTAGACATAATTTACTTTTGCAGAAATGTGCACAAAGAATCTCCAATCACTCCTAATTTTAAAGACTAAAGTGAACACACAGATGCTTTAGCCTTGTGAGTATCCCAAGAAAGATAACTATGATCATACCAAAAATCAGTCAGGAAAGACAACTCCTCCACACCTCAATCGAAAAGTAAAGGGAGAAAATTGAGACATCACAGTTATTTCAAGTATGACACATTGATAAAATTAATGTCAAGAATTAGAACAATGTTATAATTTAACAGTTAAAGCTTATTTCAGTTCACCTTGCTTTAAATAGAGGTCAATGTTAACGGAAATGTAAGCATGTTTTACGCCTGACTGAACATATCATGACAATTGTCGACACCTATATCTTCCTGCCCAAGGGTATTTTTCTTAGATAAAGTCATTCTTCAAGCCAAAAAGTTCATCTGCAAATTCAAATATATTCAGTAATACTCTTCATTAACATTTGACAGAGACTGTTATCCCCTTAAAATAAGCATTTTCTCTTCCCCTTACCCAGATCATACCTTTGACCATTGTTGCAAAAAGGTTCCAAAAAAGTAAAGAATTGGCATTAGCAGACCTGATTTTAAGTTATTCCATTAATCAAATATGACAAGATATATTTAGAACACCTTGTCTAATTTTGTGTGGAACTTCATGACCCTCCAATCTTTTTGGGAATTTCACTTGGAAAAATGTAATGACTTCAGACATTGTATAATGAAGAAGTCCAAGCAATCAAACATTTAAGTTAAAATTCATTCACCAAAAATCATTATCATTTTGAAATATCCCTTAAAGTTTTAAAAGACATAGTCATAACTTACAAAATGTTTGAGCACGTGGTCGTTTTTCGCTACGATTTTCCAAAGCATGTTTTTCATCCTGCTCTGCCTGATCCTTCAAATTGTTTGCAGCGTCAACAGAACTTTCTTCCATGTCGCGGACTTCAGTAACAGGTTCCAAATCAGTCATAGGGCGCATTTCAATCTGGGCCTCAAATTCAAAGAGGTCAGTGACCACTCTCAGACAGTGAGAAGCCAAAGACGTGACACTGAGAATGGTGCTGGTGGGGTGCAGGGAGGGCTAACTCAGAATTCGTGGAGGTCCACTCAAAAACTATTTCAGCAATGGCTGAAGATGTACAGAGGAATTTCTCAGCTTTTTTCGTCTGTCCAAAAAGTTTATTAAATGGAAAAAAAAAAGTTTTCTTAAATTTGGGAGAGAGAAAAATTGTTGGAATCCAGCTAGCTTCTAGATAGGCTTCAGTGTTCTAAATCACAAAACCTACCTCACAGCAAAGAGAAGAAAATTGAAAGACACCTTGAAATTGTCATCAAAGGTGACAAGACACAAGATACCGTAAATATCCCTAAAAATAACTTTTCAATTTCTAACACTTGAATTCACTGCTGGATGAGGTCCTCCGGCCCTTTAATAACCAGCGTACACAATCTGTCCCCCAGAAAAAAAACCCTCAGAACAAGTTGTCCCAGCAGAAACACAGGCCGGCTCCTTGTACGTCTCCTCTGTGTCCTCTATGACAGGATCCCAGGGGGTGATAAATTAAAAATTCATATTAATTAGAAGGAAATGTTGACGTCAGCAGAGCACTGGGTTCACCTGTTACTATATGACAGCCGTAAAAATTGACAAACCTCTGCACTAGGAGTTGTAAAAGAAAGTTTCTTACTAGCTTTTACTTTCAATTACGGATTTTATCATTTTTAAATTTTTTTTTGAAAATTTGTCATTCACAGGTAGAGATTAAGAGGTCCAGAAAACAATCATAAATGTCTACCAACAGAAAATGGAAAAGCTTTGAGAAGAATCTGTATTTACAGTAAGTAACTTTTTTTAACACTCTTCCATAAGATACACCTTTTTGTCAATAATTTTCTGCTACTAACTCCAAAAATGAAAAAGTTTGTAAATTTTTGTTTTCCTACTCAATTAATCATTCAGTATTGTTATTTTAACCTTGTAACTTTCTCCAAGCTATACAGTACTGAGGCCATACAGTTGATCTAGAAGTCATTAAAACATTTTGCCACTTCAAGGCATATGTGACATTTAAAACCATCAAATTATTCATGCCTTTCTAAATTCAGTAAAAATTAGATGGCACACTCTGCTCCATTTGTTATCTCCCCTTATTACTGTACAGTACCCATTACGCTCTGAATGGTCTCCTTATCCATTCCTTATTTTTTTAAAAATTCTGTGCTTTGACAAAAGGAATCAATTCTATACTGCTTTGATTCATTGGACTCAGTGAGAACACTACATTTAAACAGTATTCACCCAACACTCACAGCTGATTTCATAAATAGAGGAACTGAACTCATAAACTGAATTGCCATGGAATATTTTAAATGTTCCTTTCAGAGTTTATATATATAGTTACATTAAGACTTTTTTCATAGATTCGTTATTCTTGAAATTTCTTCATGGGTTTCACTGGTATATACAAGGTACCCACAATTTATACAATATCCCAATCACCTATAAGTTTGTCAAAGAATCAGTTTTTAAAAATATTCTGTAGATACAACAGTTTACCACTTACTTAAAAGAACACTAGCTGCCCTTCACCCCTCCCCCCTATATGTTGGGGGGAGGATTACATAAGCTGTAGTTGTCAATGGACTAGTGTGGTATAGAGTTTAATTGAAGGACCGACTGGGGGAGGGGGTTGTAAACTTACGTGAGCTGTAGCTGTCCCTGGAAAACTGTGATATTGACCGTGTGTGAAGTTTATTTGATGGGCCTATAGAGGGGAGAGGAGGGGGGTGTAGACTTACGTGAGCTGTAGCTGTCTGTGGATGACTGTGATATTGACCGTGTGTGAAGTTTATTCCGACCTGGGTTGAGGTTGAACTTTATTTCCTACAATTCAAAATACCAAAAGCTGTATAATCAATATAGGACTTTTTTTTACTTTATATTTTTTGTACATAAAAGATTACATAGAAAAATGCATAGATCTGCATCTATAATTATTAGGTAATTTGTTAATTCATAGAGTGCACTTTGCAATGCAATTTTCAACCATGCAAGCAGCTGAGCAAACATGCACAATCAAGAGTTCAAATAAATAGGATATAAAAAATTTTAAAAGAAAGAATTGTAAAAGTAATATATGGTAAATGATATTCAAAAAAGAATATAAAATATAAATTAATTCCATAAACAACTATTCTAAATTCTAGCAATATGTAATAATACTGAGAAAGAATTTATGATGTTTAAAAATATCAAATTGGTTTGCATATTTGAACTTAAAATCATAAATCTGCCATTAATAAAAAGAGGTTTGTTAACAGATATACATGCAAGCTAGCATTCAACTTTCTTCACTTGCTGATTTTATGGCCACAGCAAAAATTCTTAGACACCTTAATAAAGTGACAGACACCAAACATATCCTTCTCAGCACTCCTGACACTGATCAAGTACATGTATAAGGATCTCGGTCTTTATTAAGTTTCTAGGGGAGGAAGGGGTGGGGGGTCAGGGAGGGAAAGTATCCCTTTCTTAAACCAGTTTATTATTATTTTTTTATATAAATGGGTCCAGTTTTGTTGGGTTTATTTTAAATCTTACAAAAGATATTTCTAAAGGTAATTATTTTGACAGAGGAATGATGAATTCATTTATTTTTTTTAGCGGATGTAGTTGACCTAATACCTCCACCCTGGAACCCCCTCCCCCTTTCCAATGGCCTTGCGTATATATCTATTTACTGGGTATTTGAAACTCCATCCTTCAACTTGACTTTCTGCATATAAACACCAACCTTGCTTGTTGTCCCCTGCTTTTGTGAAAGTGAGGCTAGGGGACAATGAATCTCATTCGTCTGTCCATTAGTCAGTCAGTCTGTCTGTCTGTCACAAAAACTTTAACCTTATAGATTTTGAACGAGAAGAGATAGGACTTTCATATTTCACATGACCATTACCTGTGACAACACCTTTCTAAATACACTTATGTTTTTTCAAGCTGTGACCTTGAACTTGAAGTTTGACGTATTTTTTTAAAAAGCTATCTTTCCTTGTAACTTCTAAAAGAGAAGAAATATGGCTTTCATATTTGACATGTTCAATGCCTGTAACAAGATGTTTTGAGCATGTTAAAATATTTTTACCCCTTGACCTTCATGTTTAACATAATTTTCAAAAAGTTTTAACTTTGATGATTACATCTGCATGACATATGATAGGGCATATACATTTGACACACTTTGCCATAATTATAATGATATCTCATTGGCTGAGACACCAAAAGCGGGGGGACCACAATTCTTTGAATTTGCTTATTGCTTGTAAATTTTAGCCTGCAGTATATGCACAGTACACTAGGACTGACACAATTAAGAAAGCTTGGTACCTATGTAATTAATGTTACATAATTTCAATTCAATTTCAATCCTAACCCTTACCCTGACCCAAAACATTACATGCATTAATGCAACACAGTTTACTCTGGTATTACATTTCCTTTGCCCATCGTCTGTTTCCTATCAACATGATCAATGTACCGGTAACCAAATTCTTCCTAAAAATGATAATCTAGAATTTGCTTGGATATATGTCCATAAAAAATTAAATAATCAAGTTTTACATGGCTTGCATCTTTATGCGCTTTTATTTTCTGTAAATATTCTTTTAAAAAACTGCATTGGTACATAAAACTCAGTTACTATATATCTAGCCAGGATACTAAACATTGACCAATTAAATATCTCCATCCCTTTGTAAGTAAAACTCATTACATGTAACTATTATCTAGCCAAGTACTAATTTAAAACATTGACCAATTCAAAATCTTCCTTTGTACAATTGTAGGTAAAAAAAACTTAGTATCTTTTATCTAGCTGAGCACTAGACAATGACCAGTTAATCTTCTTTTGTACAACTGTAGGTAAAACTCGTTAATTATTATCTAGTAAATAAACTGACCGAGACATCCTTTTCTTCTATAGCAGCCGAGGGCCGGCGGGCTCGACTCAGCAAGGGGAGATGAGTCGTCATCAAGCTAAGGTCAAATCTCAGGTAGAGAGGAAACACCGAAAAAACAGAATCCTAGTCCCCCTGATGGACGATTTTCTGCTGAGTCTGTCAAGGGCCCTTACAGTATGGCTGTCAGATGTAAGTGACACAGGCGGTTTTCTTTCTACTGATAATTAATATTTCTACACACTGTCAAACGAAGCCTTATAATACTGCCAGCATGTCACAAACACACACACACATTCAACTCCAAACCCTCCTCTGATAAATGTACTGCATACAAAAGAAAAAAAAAATTCTCCTGCGCTGATAAATGTTGTATAGGCAACGAACCTCAAAGTAGGGTTCCAAAGATAAAATTCGCCTTCAGGGGACTTACTGCATGGTCTTAATGGGACACAATAATTTGGACAATTAATTTTTGTTGACAATTTGTTGTTGTTTAAAAGTGCAGGATTTCTAATCCCTTGCATATTCCAACACAGGTAATAAGGACTCTGTTTCTTAATCTTCACATTTCTTCATTCTAAATTTCAATACATTTTACTTCCCTTTTCTCTCATGTCCAAGACTGCAGTAAGCAAAGATAACATGGTTAATTCTAATTAAATATTGTTTATACGACTCTGAAAAAGGGTATTTTGAGTAGTCCAAACATTTTCAAATACAGGTGCTGCTACTGCTTCTTCTTAGTGAAGGACACCCTCCCCCTTCTAACCATTCTTGAATGAAAGTATAATTGACATGTACATGTATTACAACATTCACAGATGACGAGATCTACAAAACAAAGTGGCTATAAGACCAGTCTGCTTAATGCATCTGACAACACGTCATAATCAGGCTCTGTCAATAATAATTTGTTGAACATCCAAGTCACTCAATAGGTAAGTATGGCTAAGTAAGTACATAGAAGATGTCCATAAAAATGATCTTATTAATAAGTATGTTACTAGTAAGCAAAAGGTTTTGATAAACATAAAAGCACATCCCCTCTTCCATATCACATCCTGTTTCAGCCCTTGACCAATGTTTAGCCCTCGGAACTTTGGCCCTCTGGCTTATATTGGTGTCTCAGGCTAAAACAGCATATCTGGAAAAGGGTATCTTGTATTATTCTCTACTTCTTTACATACTGGTTAACATGTGATTTTCTCACAAGTTTTCCCATGTTGGAAGAAAATGCTTTTTAGGTGAAATTAATATCTTGATTACCGTGTGTCAAATTATCTGTTCCATTGTAAATGTTATGTAATTTTGAAGTACATTTATAATTTACAGAGACTTTCTATATTTTATGACCCAGAAATGATAATACCTGGTACTTTATATACACAACTAACAGGGAGAAAAATTCATCACTTGATAACTTCTTTATTCATCCTTACAGGACAAGCAAAAGAGAAATTACCAAGTTAAGGATAATGCGGACGTAAAACGGAGCCGGAGCCAAAACATCAGGTGACTATTGTGCCAGGTCATTTATAGGACCAGGTGACATGTGAAATTTACGACCTTTCTCACTGTCCAGTGAGTAAAGACATGATCCCCAACATCAATTTGACAGTTCTGTAAAATATGTGTCATTCTGACCAAGTTGTGTCCACATGTCAACTAATCGTCCAAGTACTGACGGTGAAATGACCAGAGTGGCTTGTGTGTACTGATAGCTCTCTCTCTCTCTCTCTTTCTCTCAGTAGACTAGCACATTATAAAGCTTTTTCTTAAACTTTAGTAATTCAATTATAATCAATTCTATTATCGAATAAATGTAAAATATTCATGATTTTACTTTGTAATGTCAAAATATATAACATCAGTTGAAGCCAGAAGCTCATTCTCTATACTCAGTGTAATACAGCACTGACTACACTGTACAAGCATTGCAGATCAGGGATGCAAGCAAAGAGAGGTAACCCTAGTATGAGAACAAAGGGAGAATGCTTTTTGGTTTGTCAAAGTTTATACTACTTTGAAACTCATTTTAAAGCTTAAAGTAAAGCCAACAGGCTAGAAAACTCTTGTTTATATTTACTAAATATGTGTATCATGTAACAAAATGCATTTTTTTTAAGGTAGCAGATTTTAATGAAAGCTCTAGCATACAGTTAAAGTATATCATTGAGGGAGTCAGCAAGATTCCAGTTCCCCAAGAGCAAGTCTATTTCCCGAGGCGCTTGCGCTGAGGGAAATAGGCTTGCTCGAGGGGAACTGGAATCTTGCTGACTCCCGAAACGATATACTTTATCTGTTTTATTATACCGATACAAACAACACATTTCAAAAAGTTATGTTCAATACTGTATTCTGTAACAATGTTTAATTCCAACTGGGATAGATAAAAAATACGACAAAACAGAATACAGTCATGAAAGAAATTCCATTTTATCAATAAATCAGTTCATTGTCCGAGTTTTTACTTAGTAAAATCGAAAGTAACATTACGCAAATCTTGAGCTCGCCATTTCTGTTGTCGTTCGCTTCCCGTAAACTGATTCTTTTTGATTGATACGGGACCAGTTGACTCGCGATGCATTTCGATTCATTAATGAATATTCATGAGTTTACTCGGAACATTTTTAAGTTTGTCGTAAGTTGAAAGAAAATGCTAAGTGTTCCGAATAGGTGTGTATCAGTTCATCAAAAAAACGTACTTTTTTTGCAGGGAATCAGTCTGTTTTGCAGGGAATTGGTTTATTCAAGGTGATTTTCAGGAAATCAGCAAAATATATCGATTTACTTTTATATAGTAAAAAATCAGTAGAGGTATAATAACAAAAAATAACGTAAGTCAGCATAAAAAGCAAATAAAATAATGATATGGTTAAGGCATAGAAAGAAAAATATATGGAATATATATATGAAAATATATGCAATATATGCTTTGAAAATAAAGTCTTAGTTTTCTTTTTCTCTTTAAATAAATTTTAACACGTCAGGCTTTGATCACTTGTGAAGATCACCTTTTCTTGCTGACTCCCCAACCCATCCCTCCACCCCCACCCCTCCTCCACCAAAAACTAGCTCTCAAAAAGTGATATGGAACTTTATTAAAATGTAATGACTAAATGTTAATAGGGAAATAAATGGTATTTGAGGATTCTTTGTCAAAAATGTGTACAATGAGCAAAATTTTAAATCCTTTTTTTTTAGCCTAATGCATGAAATACCATTACTTTGATTTACAGCAGAATGATTTGTTATGTCATTTTGATCAAATTGAAATTGAAAGACTATTGTTCTTGATGCTGTTAGCAATGATTAAAAAGATCAAAATAAATATGGGGAAACAACTTAAAAGCAACTATGTGTTCTGTTTATTTTAATTGTATGTCAAAAACATTCTGTGCACAACATTAAAACAAATTATCATTGTGGCTCTTCTTTACTAGAAATTTTTGTTATTTAAATTTCTCATAAGAAAAAAACTGGGCTCCATTCATTCACTCTTTATTTCCTCGTGATATGAGATACTTTTAGACATGTCATCATATCACTGCAACCCACATACCCCCTTTACCATTTCATTAACAAATCTTTTAATTTATCAATGATATGACTTATGTTGGCCCTTTTCCTTGGGTTTTCACAATTTTATTATATTTTTCTTCATATTTGGATTACTTTAACTGCATAAAATGTCCAAGATTTCTATGAATATATAATTTATGTGCAAAGTATCATAAACTTACTTTTCTCGGTTTTGTAAATATATCCTGTGAATTCAGAAATACAAAATGTTTCTTTACAATTGTTAGATGTTCAATGTTATGTATATGTCTGAAAAAATAACTGATCACAATATTGATAATAAAATATAATTTTTGTCTATTGTATGATTTGTATCAAATGCAAAAAAAACCCACTTTCTTTTCCATAAGATATGCACCTTGTCTTGAATCCAGTGTTAATTAAATAAATATCTTGAAATCATTTTCAATACTTCACACTGATAGTAAATCTGAACTTAAGCAGGGAAAATAGTTGGAAGTTCTTGTTCATCTGATTTGTCAATGAATAGAAATGTTTAAACATAAAACAGTTGAAATCATTGTTAATGACAACATGTGATCCGCCAATTGATGTTTTACAATGTCAAGGTAATGTCACTATCATCTGTTTCAATGCTGATAGAAAATCAAAGAAGATTGTCCAAAAAAGAACCTAAACCAAAACCAGTAGATAAATTTTACTCTCTTAACATGCAGAGAATCGGTGACACTATAAACCTCTTATATGATATCACATATATTTACAAGAAGAAAACAGCATAGCCTTTCCTTTTTACACAAACATAAACAAACACGAAATCGGCTATGTGTGAAAGGTATGGCCATTGTCTGTTGGTATTTACGAGAGATTTCAGCGCCACGCTGTGAACAGGGGGTGGGCAACACTTACCCGGGTAGACCTCTCGGTTTCTGAGAGCTTTTTGTCGAACTTGAGACCCGGGTTGGGCTTCTGAGCCAGCAGACCCACATGGTCTCCGTTCTCCACGTCTGCCTCCGACATTTTGCTTTCCCTTTATTAACATGTGATACAAACTTCCGGTTTGGTTAGATTTGCGCGCGAAATACAAAAGTGAGAAGCAAGTTCGGGAATCATAATGTTAAACTGTATGGGCGGCGGAAAGATTAAAAAAGACGTTAATGCAAAACTAATTTTAAAAACACAATGAAATACAAAACAGACCACCTAAAACAACATCAACCGACTCGTTTGCAAAATCAACAAATCAATGCAAAACCAACGACCACCGATGCGAAACTAATGGTCATGCACCGATCGAATTGACACTAGATGACGACTGTTAAACAAACAAAAAAAAAAATCACGGCCACAAGGAATAACTGCCTAGCTCAGTGTAGGTTTTTGCAATTTTGAATTTTGTTTTCAATAAAATGTTTTGAGAAATTACATTATTTGAGGCAATAAAATATTTCATTCATTATCTATAGCTACTTCCTCATCTCGTGTTCTTCTAGATTTTTCATTGGTATAGTCATCCTTTTTCACTTAAATTTGTTTAGAAAACTCTTCAATCAAGTGATAACAACTGATATTAATAATGAATATTAATTAGTAACAATTTAATCCCGTCAGTGGACCATATCAATCACCTGAGAAATTTCATTTGTCTTAAAGACAAAGCAGAACTAAGTTTGACCAGTATTGAAAAGTTTTAAGTAGTCTCAACCTAAAAACCCTAACCCCCTCAGATAGGAGCATTGTTTGAAATAAGACTTGAATCTGCATTGAATTAAGCCCGGATGTTTTCATATTTTTGAGTCTCGTTTAAAGTCATCATTTCGTTTACAAGTTCTATATGGTCGATACAATGACCTTGTCAACAAATTGAATAATTAAGTAAAATGCTAACTGACGGTTTTCAATCATGACAAGGAGCACACGGCGGGTGTGACCGGTCGGCGGGGGATGCTCACTTCTCCATGGCTCCTGATCCCACCTCTGAGGTTTTGGAGGTCTGCGTTTGCTCCGCTCCTATTTTGTATTGTTATATGGACTACTGAACTTGAACACTGTGCGTTATCTCCATATATTTCATTTGACTTATCATGGCTTAGAAGACTTTAAAAGATTTCCTCCCATCCGTTCGTTTATGTGTGTGTTTCGATGACTAATCATTGCTTTGCTGTTCTTTAGAAGAAGCTTTTCAAAGATTTTCCCTTTAAATGTATTCTTATGTAAAACTTTGATCATATACTGTGGCCCCACCCTACCCCCAGGGGTCATGATTTGAACAGACTTGAATCTACACTACCCAAGGATGCTCCCACATGTTTCATATTTTCTAGCACAGAGATTCTTGAGAAGGCTTTTAAAAGATGCCTTAAATTTTTAGCAAATTCGCAATCATCTTCCCTTGAAAGAAGGCGTGACCCTTGATTTGAACAAACTTGAATCCCCCTTACCCAAAGATACTTTGTTGCAAGTTTGGTTGAAATTGGCCCAGTGGTTCTGAAGAAGAAGATGGAAATGTTTAAAGTTTACAACGACGACGACAGACAACGGACAAATTTCGATCAGAAAAGCTCACTTTCTCAAGAGCCTTCGGCCCAGTGAGCTAAAAAAAATCAACAATTAATTAAATATGTACAATAAGATATAAAAATTTTAAATGCAGATCGAGATGCAACCTTGAAATTTCAGCTTTTGGCCAAGAAGTCATAAAATTCTTTTTAAAATCAAAGATGGGTCATTCTACGAATAGAGGCCCAAATGGTGTCCCGTCATTTTAGAATGTGTTGAGCAATACCTGGTTTATGAAATTTTAAAAATAAATGTGGAATATTGTAGAAGGAGATAATAAATATACATACACACCATAAGGACACCCCTGAAAGCAATATTACTTCTAAAAAAAAATTTAACGTCATGGACTTGCTTTGAAATGCCATGTCCCAAACTACAAAATCGAATTTGTAATATTGAATATGCGTGTGTGAAAACTGAATTTTCTGTCGAAATTTAACCTGTCGAGATTACTAAGGTATAATAAAATATTCATTGTTGATTTTAAAAAGATACGGGTTACTAAATTCTTTTTTTTAATAATTTATTGTTTGTAAAACGGTGTCCTTGATATTCTTGTCATTACCGAAACGGTGAGATAAAACTGCAAAATATAAGAGACAAGAAAGATAATCCAAAAGAAGAAGCCACGTGATTAAAAGTTTCAGAAACCGCCATCTTTGATAACAAGGCATAACGCTCTCCTGTGGGCAAGTAAGCAGATATTACATTGTAAATGGTCTTACTT